ACCCGTTCATACCAGGGTACCTGGCGATGATACCCCGGCTTCTGTAGCTGTGAAAGAAGTCGATGATTACCGCGGAGTCGAGATCTTCCCGCCTCGTGGCAGTTCTCATGGCCAGGTTTTCAGTACTACTTGGTTTGAAGACGATGGTATTTCGCTTGAGGCTCGCATCTCGGAGTACACTGTCACCTATAGCTCCACGGAGGAGAAGGTCATTGTTGGATTTTCTCGTGATGAGAAGTCTGGATTCGTCCCTGCTTGGAAAGACCTTGATATAATCCTTCATAATGGCGATGAGAGACGCGTTGTGTCGGATATTGGAAAGACTGTGGAGTATAAGGGTAAGGACTCCCGGGGACGCGTGGTTTATACCTTGAAGAACTAGATAGAATGTTGTGGTTGCTTTGGACAGTCCATTAAATCTTTTAGCAATACGTGGTGGAAATTGTTTACCCAGGATGCATGATGATAGATGTCGGCGGCGTTAAATAGTATAGAAGAGAGAATGTTCTGAATCAATTGCTTTCTGTGACACAGACAACTTCCATACAATACCTATTAGTAAGTACTCTCAAGGCGATAGGCTGGCTGTTATGCAGTCAATTCAGGCGTAAGGCGTGGTCGGCCATGAACCACGCAGACAAGCAAGGGGAGCAAATGGACAAGACTCTATCATGAACCATGCGACTAGACCTGAAAATCAATTCAAATAGCATTGTTGATACATGATATAACACCAGAGAAAATGAAAATTTACAATGTCCTATACAATACAATCCCAAGCCGAAAGTTCAGATGTAGGCAGACAGATATCAATAAGAGCAATAGGCAACACTTCGACTCTATTCGTCATCCTTGGAAGCCTCTTCCTTAGGCTTCTCGAGCGGGCTTCCCTCAGAGACAACTTCCTGGGAGGAGGCTTCTGACTTCTGCCCTTCCGCGGTCTCTAGAGTCTGCTCCTCTACTTGGACACGGAGTGGCTCCATATGTTCATACGTCAAGTGACCCTTGCGCGCTCTCGCCAATCTTCTCCGCTGACCCACTTCTCCTGCCCGTCCCAGCACACCAGCAATCAGAGTCACGGAACGCAAACTGTCGTCGTTCGCAGGGATCGGGTATGTGACACGGGTAGGGTCGGCGTCGGTGTCGATGATACCGATAGTCGGGACGTTGTTGAGACCACACTCGTGCAACAGGACAACGTTCTCGACGGGGTTCAAGCAAACAACAAGATCGGGCTTAAGTGCACGGTAAGATTCCAACTCCTCTTTCCAGAGATCATCCAACGTCTCATCCAAGCCGTTCACGATCTTCTTTTCGCAATGGCCCAAGATCTGCTGGCCATTGGTCAAGCTGCCAGGAATCCAACGCTCGAAAATGTGATATCCCTGAGCCAATTCCGCAGCTCTGACCACGGCACGCTTCTGTCCCTTTCGCGTGCCCGCAAAGAGAATCAATCCACCCCGGTAGGCAACCTCCTCCACGACCTTAGCCGCACGGCGGAGGTAAGCCGCCGTCACATCAAGGGAGATGATGTGAGTTCCCTCCCTGATACCGAAGATATAGCGCGAGTTCTGGGGGTTCCAGCGGGAAGTCGAGTGTCCAAGGTGTGTCTGGTTGGCGAGGAGCATTTCGAGGGTAACGTCGGTGGCTTGAGGAGGGTTTTTGAGGAGGCTCTCTGGCCGGTAGACGCCGGTCACATCGCTACCGAGACTGTGGAATTTGACTCCTGAACCAGAGAATGTATATTAGCTTTCCCTTCGGGCAGCGGCAGGCGTAACAGCTAAAATGTTGCAGTACTTACTGCGGAGCGTGTTCGGATCCAATCTCTCTTGTGCACCAGATGTACCAGGCTCCCGCACTGCAACAGTCGGTGCGGGCGTCTCTAATTGAGGTGCTTGCTCCGCAACGATAGTCTGTACTGGGGTCTGGCCAGTCGTCTCCGTGGAAGAGAATCGGGACAAGATGCGCGACTGACGGGGAAGAGCCCGAAGCTGGCGGCCTGGATGGGGACGGGGGAATCAGCATCAATATTTCCTATCAATATACCCAATCCATGGAGTAACTCACTTTGCCGCACAAGTTGCCGAACAATCATACTGTCTTGTGTTGGCCGGAGTTCTGTTCTATCGCAGCTGGTTCAAGGGAATCTTCCGCTCGAACTTTTGATGTCGGGCTTGGCAACAATAGGTGCCTGAGGCGGGAAACTGATACGCTAAGCCATTTAAGGAACAAGTTCTAGATGTCGGGGAAATCAACTCGATCCCAGCAATTCCGATGCATCTCAGACAACTCGCGTACTTTGTATTGGCAGCAGACCACCTGAACGATGGGTGTTGTTCCAGAGAATTCAATAATATGGACATGATTGCCTACCAGTTCCTAGCAACGAGATACAGCATCAAACTAATCAACAGCACCACTCGCGTATCGCCCAGACCGCCAAACCATCACTCGACAATAAGACACCAAACAAAACCATCCAATAACAAAGCCTGTACAACGCCCTCCGATATCTCCCGGAAAGAGTAGGCAAGATGTCACCGATTCCACCAATCGACCATTACATCCCCTAGACCATCATGCAGAACTCAGCATGGTAGCCAATCGCCCAAATGCCAATCTGCAAGTAAGTACAGAGTAGGTTGGTAAGCACATAGCCACCAGCATGTCGACACACACACAAATATCGACGATCATATACATGAAACCGAACTTTCTCGACCCCTAAACAAGGCAAACAATTGCCTTTGAAGCGACACGCGTACTCACCAATTCCTGACCATGCTATTTGTCAGGTCATATGTTAAGTCAACTTGCAGTGTCGGGGTGATTCATCCGATCCTTAACCGCTCAGTCTCAGCCACCATAACAGTCCATCTATCTGCTTAAGGTAATCGAGATGTCAAGGTGGGGATTTTGGTTTTGGGGGAATAAGTAAGCCGGGACATTAGACGGAGCCCGTTGGGCCGCTGAATTTTACACTATTCGCTTTGGGTGTGTGTGCATTACGTATCTTGAGATATTTTACCATCGTATTATAGACAAGACGAGGAGCTCACATCGATCTATTTCTTTGTTTCTCTAGATCGTGTGACGTGGGGTTGACTGGAGAAATGGAATGGAAAGAGGCATTTTTCCCTGGAATGTGCCGGGTTCTTGTTTCTGTCGGATACTAAACTGGCAATACTATCTTTGTATCTTTGTGCGGGGGGCCGAAAACTCCTGCTGCTAGTAGTACCAGAAGTTACAGCACACATTACTGGTTGATGGGTGCGCTGGCCTCGCTGATCACCTTCAGAATGATTCAATTATTTTCCGGCAGGAGACAGACAGAAAAGCGAGGGTGGGGTCGGGGTCGTTGAGAGACTTTCACCCCGCCACCACCTGAAGCCCCTCATCCTGTTAACATCATGGGGCGAACTCAAATGCATGAAGATCGGTCAAGTGGTGGGCGGTTGGAGGATGGTCAGATCGCGATTTACTCTCTAGGGATAGAGCTACGTGTAAAATTATGATTCTACGGAATTGTTCAGGAGCAAAGGGAATGAAGCCAAAGTCTGTATGAATTCTTCGTAACGTAACCACTGAAGAGCTATGTAGACTGGAATACAGCGTTGGTATCAAGATTAAGAATTTCATCCGCGCCGGGTATGTGTAACAAGCAAAGCGATCTCAATAATAGCAATGAGAAGAAAATGTAGGAAAAGCGAGTCAATAATTCTTCATCCAAAACCCGGCCGGCCGAAACGAAGCAGAAGTCGAAATTTCAGTCATTCACGGTAGTCGCAAGGGAATTCGTAAAGATAAAACAGAAAGAAAGCAGTCGGTTTATAGAGAAGGAGAACCGTCTATCGCTTGAAGAAGCCGCCGAGCTGGTCCATCATGCCACCACCGCTGTGGTGGGACTGAGAGCCACCCTGAGGGGGGTAACCGCCATAGCCGCTCTGGTATTCCTGCTGCTGCTCGTCCTTGTGCTTGTGCTTCTTGATGGCATCCTCGGCGATGCTTCCCATGATAGCTCCACCGATGGTTCCGAGGATTCCGTGATCGGCCTTGTGACCGGCAAATCCGCCCGCCAGACCACCGGCAATGGCACCACCGAGACCACGCTCACCCTCCTGGGCTCCGCCGGGGGCACCCTGGTTGTATCTAGAGACAAGATATTAGCTAGAGATCATAATAAGTATCGGGATTAGTGGATAACATACTCGCCGCGCTGGTCCTGGCCGTACTGCTGACCACCCTGGTGCTGCTGGCCGTACTGGCTCTCACCATACTGGGACTGTCCACCACCGCCGTAGTAGTCGCTAGAGGCACCACCACCCTGGCCGCCGTGCTGCTGGTGCTGGTTGTACTGGTCGTAGCCACCCTGCTGGCCGTATCCTTGCTGCGGGGGGTATCCGCCCTGACCGTATCCACCTTGGCCATAGCCACCCTGGTTGTAACCACCCTGCTGCTGGTGGCCGTAGTAGCCTTGGTTGTTGTATCCGTCGTAGCCAGACATGGTTATGATGTGAATTGGAGTTGTAGAGGTAGTTGATTGGTAAGATTGATGTAGGAAGGAAGAGGAGTGGATTTGGTAAGATGATAGAAGGTAAGACAGAACGAGGGGTTCCCAGGCCTTTTATAGTGGGATATTTGGCCACTTGATAAGGTGATCAGGCACTGCAGGGCTGAGCAGGCGCAGTGCTGACTCGCCCAGAAGGTGAGCCCCACCAAGATTCAATGATGCCCCCGCTACGCCAAGAGCCCAGCGCCAGCTGAGAAACACGGGACAAGAATTACGCTGTTCAGTCACAGCCCGGTCAGGAATTAACCAAGTTTGAGTGAGATTACGACTAACATTGTGGCTGTTCATGAGGCTGATGCCGTACGGAATCACTAGATCCCCCGCCACCATGCAGCGCGGGGTGGCTGTGCCATGTGTTCATCATAGGCGCAGGGCGGGTGTTGATCTGGTCTTCCCTTTCGGAATTGCTCCCCGCCAACCTGGGGATCAGGTACTTTCTTTTCTTTTGCTTTGCCTGACAGTGGCAAAATCAACGGGCTTCTACTAAATGATAGCCTAGTTAATTATGCCTGTCATTATGCAATAACTTCGATACGCAGCGCATTACACATCCGGCCCCTTACTTTCCATTCACCCCCATAGTAAGCGCCAGAGCTAGCCGCGACTGGAATTTCGGCCTCGGAGTTAGCACGGGTACTTCGGTGACGTTACCATGGTATAATATAACACCTCATACCGAGCTCACATGTGGCTCTTCCGCACAGCCGTCCAGTGGCTTAGCAAACTACAGGTGCATATTGCATAAAATCAGTCAAACTGCGTGCGCACATTTACTAAAGTATGGCTGTGCGAGTCCATAAATAGTACCACAGATGGCGCGATGCCGATACCGTATAGTACCAATACAATCCAGTCACTACCCTATTGGACACATTCAACATCGCAACCGTCTGCTGGCGTTTTTACCGAAATAAGCCCCCATAACTCCTTTCTGGAATTGCCGGATCATCGGAATAGCACATCTCCGTGTTTGCCGGACACTCTACGTACTACTTACCAAAGTAAGTATGTTTGTTCCTAATTGGGGTCCAAAAAGCGACCGGCATTAGCAGGCAGACACATTATTACCCTACTAGTGCAGAAATACGTCCGCCCGAGTGTTGCGAACACGTACGAGTAGTGGAGGGATCCGGAGTGAATCTGGTCGCTGACTGGATCACTCGTCTTTGGTTCCAGCCAGTTTTACTGGGTTTCGCTTCTCTTGGACCCTTGGCGGGTTGAAACTTGCAACGATCCGGGCCTCGGGCTATGGGGCACCACTGGGCACTTGATCAGATCAGATAGAGATGATGTGCCCGGTTTAGGTGGTCTAGATATCTCGTAGATCACAGTTGGCCGAGTTAGCCTTGTCGAATGTCATTCTAGAATCCTCGGGTGCTGCGCCGAAATTAGTTCAGGGCGCACACAACCTCTTGTATGGGGCGGGCTGTCGTTCTCTGCCTAGTATCGGGCGGGATGTCAGAGCTGAGGGAATAGCCTGTCTTTCCACCTTTGAGCATGATGTCAACTGCAGGCAGCAAATAAGTTCTAAAATGCGGCAGAGGGCTGAACATTTACCTGGGCAATCAACAAGTATACTTGGTCATTCCTCGTAGAATCACGATCACGATGAGATGATCCACGGACCCAAGTGGCTTTATGTATATAGACGCGGGGCCATCAACCACTACAGTGCTTACACACCAACTGTATCCAGCAATAAGCAACTAACTTAACCCATCAATATCAAACCTTATCATACTAAGATTCCCAAACCCCTTACAACCGACGCAGTACAACCACCTCCCCAGCATACGCAAAATGCAAGGTTAACCGCACTACCATGTTGCACATATCAAGCTTCCTACAGCGAACGAAACCTCCCCAGCCCACGCGGCACCACACAATCTGTTTCGATCTTCAATAAACATCCCATGTACTGACTGGCAAGGTACTCTCAAAAACCTGCCCCTCAAACCCAAGAACTAGTCTAGATAGATCATCATCTGACTCCAGCGACCAGCTGGTGGGAGCAAACAGATTGGTCGCCTTTAAGGTTATACTTTACGCGGTGCCTCCCATGGTGGATAGCCCGCCTGACCGACAACTGCGGCATCAGTAAGTATACTATGGAGGGGGAGCATGTTTCAACTGTACCCAGCACCCACTCGCGACCGTCACCGAAACTTTCTTCCTACGATGAACACATGGATCATCCTGGAAATTCGCTCATAGTTGGGTTTGCAATCATGGTGTGCGACAATTGTAGATCCACGCGTGTAGGTGGCAGGGGTGCCACTGCGTAATTGCTACTGTTATATAGTGGGTAGCCTTCCTTTCTGGTGTAGAGCAAAATGAGGGGAGCTTTTCAAGAGTTCTTCGACTTCCGGGTCATTCATCAGAGGACTTTTGACCTATACTACTAGTTGTCGATGCGTTGACTTTGCGTCTTGAAAACCCAGCGGCCCCTCTTCGATGAATATATATAGTGCATCAACTGGGCCTCACACAAAATGAGATCCACACTCATTCTACTATCCTCTCTATGCTTCTTCAGTACCTTACACGCACACGCACACGCAACATCTACACCCAATCCCCCGACAGTATATCTCATCCGCCACGGCGAGAAACCCCCGGATCCCGAAGATAGCGGACTAAATGCAGACGGATTCAAACGCGCCGAGTGTCTCCGGGAAGTATTCGGCGTGGGGTCACCTTATGATATTGGCCATGTGATGGCACCCAAGATCAACAAGCGTAAGACATGGCGCATCTCAAGCAGTTATTCCTCTCACGTCAAAAACTAACGTATATGTTGGTGGCTACTCAGGAGGCCAGCATAGGCGTTCTTATGAGACCGTCCTGCCCGTCGCAAAGGATCTTGACCTCCCTGTCGATACATCTTGTAAGCGCAATCACGTTAAATGTGTGGCGAAACGGATCAGGGAGTTTAAGGGAACAGGGAATATCCTGATCTCCTGGCGCCACGGTAAGATGAGGGAGATTGTGCAGGAGCTGGGTTACGAGGACCCTCCTGAATATCCTGAAGATCGGTAAGTTATTGCAGGGTTTGGTTTCGGGCTAGACGCGTTACTAATGGATTTTCTGTCTAGGTTCGATTTGATCTGGACAATTCCATTTCCTTACAATAATATCACTGATATTCAAAGCGAAGAATGTCCGGGATTGGATGTGCCAGCACTAATGAAAGTGCAAGAGTAAATCATCATGGGCTGGTACCTGATGAGGAAGTCCACTGTCTATATGGTAGTTATAGGGCTTTGAATGGAATCGATGGCTTTCTGTGTGGTATGGACGAAGTTATGTTTTTTCTGCATCGACTTACTGTAGTTGTATAATGAGGAGTGGGTTGTTAGATGGATTCGCTACTACTGTATTTATCTACTACTAGTGGTAGTAGGTGTAGAAGCAAGCACAGCCAATCTCATTGACCAGTTGCTGCTGCACAGGGTCAAACATTAATCCGAAGACAGTCTTGTGTGCGCGGGCGGTGAACAGCCGAGCGGAGACAGAGCGCCAAGATTTCAACCTGCCCACCCAATTTTTTCGAGGTATCGCGGCCTTCACTACGTTCGACCGAGCGTTGCCCAAATATCTCATCAGCCTCCAGTATATTACTGGCTCAACGGCTTGGATCCCTCGGAAGGTCTGCGGTCACTCTGTTTCTTGAAGGATGGATGATATCGAGGTGTGTTGTTCCGTGCATTGTACTATGCCCGATCACGAGGTTGACCTCCTCTATTTTTTCTTCTTCAGGAACGCCTCCGAAGCCATGCTCAGGCCTTCGATGGTTTGCTGTCGCTGATCCCGGCGAAATTTTATTACGGCGAAGATGGCAGTGTATGTGACTTGTCCAATCCTTCTTGCTGCAAAATTTCCTCCTGCCCTTCTCTTTCTCTCCCTTCGTCTCATTTGGCGTCGCGCTTAAGACATAGCTGACCCGCGGTTCCTGAAACAGGATCAATGGCAGCGCAAGAAGCAGACTAAGGAACAGGCCCGTGAAGCTAAGCGGGCCAAGTTGGACCCCGATTCCGCCAAGTCAGCAAAGGATGTGATGGACGAGAACGCACGCAAGCGTAAACGTGACGAGGAAGGGAATGGGGAAGGTGACGATTCTTCTGATAACGGTGAACTCGGATCCGAGAAGCCCAAGGAAGGATTGAAGAGAGGAGATGTCAACTCAAAGAAGCAAAAGCAGGCCGAAGACTCGGCCAATGCGGAGCGCTCATCCGCCAAGTCGGCTGAAGAGGCAGAAGCGCGCAAGAAGTTGAAGGAGGAAAAGAAGGCCCAGAAGAAAGCCGCTCAGAAGGAGAAGAAGAAGGCCAAGGAAGCCGCTAGGAAGGTCAAGGTAGCCGAGCAGTCAGAAGAGACCGAAACACCTGCTGTGCAAAAATCCGAGTCGACCCCCGCCAACAAGACCAAGGAACAAAAACAAAAACAAGAGGACAGCGATAGTGATGACAACGAAAGCGTGGACGGCGTCCCCGCCGAAGAACTCTCGCTCGATTTCAGCGCTGAACAAGAAGAACAACCATCGTCTTCTGCGTCCACCCCGAACTCCCCTGGGTTCGATGCTTCCAATCCCCAATCGGGCAGCTCTTCCATATCCTCCATTGTTCCCCCCACCGAAGCCTCCAAATCCTCCACCTCCGAACCCAAGCCTCTCAAGCCTACCCCCGATGAGCTAAAGCAACGGTTACAGAAGCGGCTCGATGAACTTCGCGCAGCCCGCCATGCCGACGGGCTTAACGGAAAGCCCGCCAGGAACCGTCAAGAACTAATCGAGGCTCGACGCCAAAAAGCCGAGCAACGCAAAGCGCACAAGAAGGAGCTGCGCCAGAAGGCTAGAGAAGAAGAGCAACGGCTGAAGGATGAAGCCATGGCCCGACGCTTCTCTCCTGGCGGCTCGGGATCCCTTCTCGCATCCCCGCGCTCCCCTGCTGACTCTGTCGGCTCGAACAACAACTACGCTTTTGGCCGCGTTGTCTTCGCAGATGGCCAACTTGCTGACCCCAGTCTTTCCGGAGTCCGGGAGCAACCTAAGAGCCACGGTCCCAAAGACCCCGCCGCAGCCCTGAAGGCTGTTGAAGCGAAGAAGGCCAAGCTTGCCGCCATGGACGAGGAGAAGCGGGCCGATATTGAGGAGAAGGACCTGTGGCTTAACGCGAAGAAGCGGGCACATGGCGAACGGGTCCGTGACGACACATCATTGCTGAAGAAGGCGCTCAAGCGCAAGGAGTCGGCGAAGAAGAAGTCTGAGCGCGAATGGAAGGAGCGTCTGGAAGCCGTGAAGAAGGGCAAGGACATGAGACAGCAGAAGCGTGAAGAGAACCTCCGGAAACGCCGAGAGGATAAGGGCAACAAGGGTGGCGGCAAGAAGCAGGCCGGAGGTAAGAAGAAGTCCAGACCGGGCTTTGAGGGCAGCTTCAAGGCCAAGTCTGGAGGCAAGAAATAAGCAAACATTGTACTGTGTTGGGGAGAAGTGGAGACCCGTCCAAAGTGTAATACCAAGCTGCAGCCTCTGACCATGTGTACATACACGCACAGAAAAAATGGGCCGAGATCAGAAAAGAAGAAAAGGAAGAACAAAAGGGAAACTCAGAGAGGAGCAGGCATGCTACAGATTGAGCAAGAATAGCTCGAGACCAAAAAGTTGAGGGAGTGCGGGCATTGGAGAAACGGTGTTTGGGGAGTTTAAACTCTGGAGGTTCTCTGTTCATTTTGTGCATATATACCGAATCTCACGAAGCATTTTTTGTCTTTGTTTGTGTTTCTATGCCAGCTGAGCTTGCACACTACTACATTCATGTACGAATTGTTTGAGTAATTGAACTTGATGCAGAACGGTAGTGACCCAACAGCATGCCAATTGTCATAATCTTCGTTCAAACTGTCTGCCAGCAAACTTTTGTCTATGTCATAACTCAGTCGAAGTCATAACTCATAAGTCACGGAGCCCTCTCGACACCATCCCATCTAGCCCCATCATCTATCATTTATCACCCCATCTATCAATTTATCATAACCGTTATTGTCATCATCATCATCAAAACAAATCAAGACTTTTACCCCCTCTCCAACCCCCTGAAAGATCAAAAAATCAAATCAAGCAAACCTCTCATCCCTCGCCTCCAAGCACGCATCCACCATCCCATCCACAGCAACGCCCCTCTGCATCTCCGTACAGCACCCAATCTTCACCAACTCAGTCAGCGCCTCCCCGACCCAATTTGACAGTTCCACCCGGGGACATCATTCCGCACTTTCACCCTTGCGCACGCATCCCTGATCATCTCCCTAGAGATAGAAGCACTTACATTCGCGACGGGGATATTCCTCTCTAGTTTTGCGCTCTGCGTGGGATTCGCCCCGGTTACTTCGACGAAATTGAAGTCCCCGGGCGGTCCGATGATGTGGAACATGCTTTGCTGGTTGTCCGGGTAGGTGAGGAGGAGCACGGCGTGGCGGTATTTGATGAAGTCGAGGGGGGAGCCGTGGAAGACGAGGAGGGAGAGGAGGGAGGTGGACATGATGGGTGGGTAGTGGTGATGCTGGTGAGGGAGGGATGGGGATGAGGATGGGATGGATCTGTTCTTCATTGTGAAAGGGCCGAGGGGGTTATATAGTGGTCAGGAAGATTGAAGTTCATGCGTTCGTTAGTTGTTTGGGGATGTGCCGTGAGTGATATCTTTCGTATGCAGGAGGGGATGGAGGTATATAGAAGTCTAGAAGGGTCCACAGTCATGCTTAACAGCTGAGAAGGGGACCAAAAGTACGAATATAAGGAGCATCTTTGGCATTCTCCTACACTCATATAGCAGCACTAGAACGTGTCAACCTGCTACTGCACAAAGAACTCCAACACTAACCTTAATCAAGCTCTGTTGCTTTGTTACAGACTACGGGACGGCACGTCTCGTCGCTACCAGAGTTCGAGGGAGAGCAAGATGGAATTTCCCTTTTGTTTGTGAGAGAGATGTGTGGTATCTCCGTGTTGGTGATGCAGGGACATCTGCCTCGTTGTACCACCTATTCCCGTCCTCGTATGTATACGCTCCATGCATGGTCTAGACTCTTGTTGGATATGGAGACGGAGATGCGGTGTATGTGCTTTGCATACTGTGAAAGTATCATGTCAGGCGAGATGGGTATATCCACTATAGCTTACCGTACATACTAGGTGCAGCTATGTCTATGATGCTGAGTATGGGTGGTTCTGCATGGGAGGATAGGGATATATCCGATAATTCCGATTGATAGAGGTATGTAATAGCAAAATGACGGGCGATTGGGCTGAAGAGAATGCAAGCTGAATGCCGCAGTGTTGAAGACATTGTGTGCTTGGTTGGGCTGTGAGCGAGTGGCGGCAGAGAATGGCAGACCAGTGTATTGCTCTGTGTTCCAATAGCTTATAGTTGAGCATGGTTGCTGCACTGATGAAAGGTCGTTGTTTAAGCACTATTCCCGGACATAACAAAGGAAAAATTCTTTGATTGGATCCCTAGACAAACAAGAGTAAAAAAAGACAACACAACATGCAGGATTTCCTTCAACATCAAAGACAAAACCAGACCCGGAATCGAGTGGCCGATCTGATCAATTCCGGTAGACCCGACTAGTACAGGAGGTAATCAGGGAGGCGAAGGGGGTTGGGCGTGAGATATGTACAGCGTGGGAATAAATGGGGGTGGCTACAAGCCAAGCTTTCTAGGTCGGAAAGGCTTTCTTTCTAATATCATGTTTTTCTCGCATCTCTTCCAAGGGGAGTGTCACATGGACACCGTGTCCGGTGTCATATTGGCAAATACAGGTGCCGCTTAGCGGTAAGGAGCATCGGCTCTGATAGCAGCAGCAATTTCGGGCTCCCACTTGTCACCGTTGGCAAGGAGCTTCTCCTTGTTGTACAGCAGCTCCTCACGGGTCTCGGTGGCATATTCGGCGTTGGAAGCTACGTAATATCGTTAGTAGGAGTCTCATGACCTACACATGAATTTACTGGTTACTCACTCTCAACAATAGCGTCGACAGGGCAACTCTCCTGGCAGTAACCGCAGTAGATGCACTTGGTCATGTCGATATCGTAACGCGTCGTGCGACGGCTTCCATCCTCACGCTCCTCAGCCTCGATGGTGATAGCCTGAGCCGGGCAGATAGCCTCACAGAGCTTGCAGGCAATGCAACGCTCTTCACCGGTGGGGTAGCGACGCAGAGCGTGTTCACCACGGAAACGGGGGGAGATGGGTCCCTTCTCGAAGGGGTAGAAGATAGTGTAACTAGAGGACCAGCTCATCAGCCGCAGATCCATTGAGACAGAACAAACCTCCATAGAATGATGAAAAGCGATAGACAGGCTCAGATGGGCCACGGGAAATTCTGATGATGATATGCACCGAGGCAGACCTGACCAAGCTGGATGGGGCGACTTACGGAGGTCTGAAGAACTGCTCCAGCACGACGTACATGCCGCGCAACAACTCAGCCATAAGGAAGTACTTTCCGGCCTTGTCGAGAGAAGACTCAGCACCTTCGTCCCATTTCTTCGGAGGGGGCAGACGGAAGCCCGGTTGGGGGGGACCAGCTGGCGTAGCTGCCCGGTTCACCGAGGAAGAGAAGTTTGCGATGGATCCCAAGGGCGAAGAGCGGAGAGGGAAGGCTGTAGGACGAGAGTAGGCGACGAGCCTGGCGACGGACTTGGGGGCGGCCATCGCGGAAGTCGAGGAAGCGCGCGAAAGAGCGGGGATGACGAGGGGGGAGGTCAATTGGCAGAGGGGGGGAGCAGCAGCAATTCGAACCAGAAGCGGTTGGAGGTGGAAGTCGACGAAGTTCTGCTTGGGTCGCCGGCCTGCTTAGGTCATGGCTTTCTGCCGCCCCGTGATTGGCCCGCCGCCAGGATTTTGCTTCCTCCGAGCCGCAACAGAATCCAAACCCGTTCATCATCCATCGCTTCATTTCCCCCAATCTTTCCCCATTCCATCACTACCTCCTCCTCCTCCTCCATTCTTCCCCCCCACTCCACCTCTTTTCTCCTTGTTCAGGCCTTTTCTTAGCCTCTCTTTTCAGCTTCACCTCCCTGCCAACATGTTCCGCTCCGCCGTCGTCCGCTCCCTCAGGGCCTCTGTCCCTCGTGCCGTCAAGACTCCGGCTCCCTTCCAGATCCGTAGCTCTCCTGTCGCTCGTCCGGCTCAATTCGCCCCTCGCTTTGCCTACCAGGGTGTCAGACTCTACTCCGCTCCCGCCGGTCTCAACAAGGACGAGGTTGAGGGTCGGATAGTCAACCTTCTGAAGAACTTTGACAAGGTGCGTTCGCAATCGCGCGTTTCCAACTCCTCGCTCAAGGCGAGGAATTGCAAGCCATCAAGAAATAAAAAAGCACAGTAACTGACAGGCTGGGATTATTACAGGTCTCCGATGCTAGCAAGGTTAGTTTGGATACCCGATGACGCCCGAAGTCATTGGCCGGAATTTCCCGCGGGTAAAGAATCATAGCTTAACGGTCGCAATTCAACAGATCAACGGTGCCTCTCACTTCGCAAACGACCTCGGCCTGGACAGCTTGGATACCGTTGAGGTCGTCATGGCCATTGAGGAGGTATGGATATTGAATATACCCAAATATATACATAACGTTGTATACTGATAGCGATGTCTATAGGAGTTCAGCATTGAGATCCCCGACAAGGAGGCCGACTCCATCCACAGCGGTAAGTACAGCTTTGGGATACGATGCCCTTGTAGGGTATTGCGACGCCGGAGGACATTTACTGACTATCCCTTCTGCTATAGTTGACAAGGCTGTTGAGTACATCCTTGGCCAGCCCGATGGTAAGTTTAACACCCTTTGCTTGTGCAATTGAATTCATCCTGCGGGGATTCAGTACTGACTACTCTGCTAGCTCACTAAATATGAACGTAATGCGAGGACTCGGAGTGGATTGGGGGACTTAGAATAGAAAGGAAAGGGAATGCTGGCGTGCATCTACATGGGACTTGCCACAGTGGAGGTACCAGGAGTCGGTCACGCTACTCTGTATGCTGATACATGCCTGTGCTCTTTTCACTCTATTATATCGTGTATATCATCTTCAATGCAGTTTTGACTGATTTTGGCTGGTCTTGTCGTATACTCCTTCCTCTCCATTCATATCGTGTGAGATGAGCATTGTTGAAGAAGTAACTTCATAGCTGAGATTATTCATGGTCAGGGAACTGGTAGTGTTGAATTAAGCTTGGAATTGCACGCGGTGTTCAGGTCGGAACGAATCTGATATGCAGTTCCGTGGGATGACGTGGAGGCTACCCATTCGGGAACAATCAACGAGAAATGAGTGCAGGGCCCAGCCATTGTATTCGTGCCTGTGAGAGTGAGAAGGGCTGGGATTCCTACTGCAGTTTTGAAACCAATGTTGATGCAACTGAAGTAGAAAAAGAAAATAGAAGTAAAACCATCAGGGGCCTGGAACCGAGTGGGCTGGGAGTAGAGAGTAGATAACTTAGTAGATGGTAGTGGCCATAAAGAATGGGGTCCGTCACCGGAGAAGCAACAACTGGAGACGCCCAGCCAAAGGAAGACCAAGCGCCAGATAGCCTTAGCGACCGCATCGACCGCATCAATCTTATATCTCCTCCATCCACTTTCTTCCCCCGGGTTATCTCCCACCACCACCGTCTTTGTCTTGGATTCTCACCGGGTTGAATTGGGGTTTCTTGTCGCTGCTCGGCTCAGTTACCCACTCTCTGGCCGCCCGTCTCCTTCTTCCCCCATTGATTGTCGGCCTGCCTTTCCTCTTCGTCGTCCTCCACCACCATTCTCCCCCCCCTGACAATTTCCCGTCCAGCAAACTTTCGGCGTCACTCTTCCATTCCAGCAACTCCAACCTCCGATCTTCCTACCCCAAGAAAATCACCCAGGCACCGGCCCAATAAGCAAACATCAGTCCATGTCGCAGACGATAACGGCATAGACTCCATCACTTGCGTGCTTATCGACACCATCCTTGTTCCCTTTATCCCTCCCTCCCCCCACTCCCGTCTCCCAGCCGCATTCAGATCCTCATGGCCTCAGCCGGGGGCTTGACTCGCCGAAGAGGTGGCGGTCGAGTCGCTGGCGCCGAAGACAACGACGACAGCAGAGTCTCTTCGCCCGTGTCGAGAAATGGTTCGTCGTTGGATAACCGCATCCCCGAGACCTCGTTCACCAGCTCCGAAAACGGTCACAAAATCGCCTTCGACCCCAGGGACATCAGTGAGACGGAGGAACGCAGCAAGCAGCCCAAGTTGACGCTGATGGAAGAGGTGCTTCTGCTGGGGCTGAAGGATAAGCAGGTGAGCCCCTAGCCTTGCTACTGCGCATTTACAAGCCGGTGTTCAATCGCTGACAGGCGCGTCCGGGATGGTTTGGTGTCGCTGTAGGGTTATCTGTCTTTCTGGAACGAAAACATCTCATACGCCCTCCGAGGATGCATCGTGATCGAGTTAGCGCTCCGTGGTCGGATCAGCATGCAGAAGGACTCCTCTCGGCGACGTTTCCCTCTGGCCGATCGGGTGATTGAGGTGGTCGACGATACGCTAACTGGGGAGGTCTTGCTGGACGAGGCGCTGAAGATAATGAAGTCAAGTGAGAAGATGAGCGTGAACTCCTGGATAGATTTGTTGAGCGGTATGTTACGAAGGGGCATCTTCCGATGATCTTTCTTATTGATTTTCCCGCGATTGCTATTGACACATTCGCTGACTCGACGTGTCTTCCCGGCAGGTGAAACTTGGAATTTGATGAAGATTGGCTACCAACTCAAGCAAGTGCGCGAACGCCTCGCCAAAGGCTTGGTAGATAAGGGTATCCTCCGCACCGAAAAGCGGAACTTCCTTCTCTTCGACATGGCTACGCATCCCGTCGCGGATGGAGGCGCCAAGGATGATCTCCACCGCCGCGTCCGCAACGTCTGCAGCAGTCGTACAGTGATCCTCCCGGCAAATGCATGGCTCCCTGAAGATGTCGAGTTCCGTTACCTACGAACCATCACCATGGTATGCGCGGCCTATGCGGCCAACGTGCTGGAGAACGCTCTTGTCACAATGAGTCACGAGGCCCGGGAAAGGGCATTTGCGCAGGTGGATGAGTTGCTTGCTGAATACTCTCAGTGGCCATTTGCCCGGAGACCAGGAGGCTCGCAGGCCATTGGAGCCAACCTGGCACAGGCGATCAATGACGAGGTGAACAAATCTAAGGACCGAGAGCTTCAGATGGAGGTACGTTTCTCATCATCCATGGACTACTTCTGCGCTCAATGCTAATTCTCTTGCAGATTGTGGCAGCATGTTTGAGCGTTTTCACTAGACTCGACTCCCTACTGTAAGGGTATCATCATTCTTCGTCTTCTGCTATAGTCCCCAACCTAGTTTGTCCTTTTATTTTCCCATTATTTCCCCCTTATGCTATTGGTTTCTGAATCAACAAAACAACTACCCCGGGGGAGCTCTACTTGGCTTCCTCTTGAAGTAGTCACCGGTATACCGGTTGGAACTGGCAGAGTGGCGTTTATATGAAATTCGTCTTGCATTGTTTTGCACGGGATGTTCGATTCGATCTCCATTGATCTGTGTTTTCATTGTCTGCTTTGCTTTCCACATCTTTCTTCTCTGTCTATTGACTCGCCCGTTCCCTCCCTCTTCTCTATAAGGGGGCAAAGCGCGGCCATGCCATATGTATTACTCAAAACACACCCCCCCAACTCCCACAGGTACTGTACGCATCCCCTCTTGGAAGTTTAAACCCGTTCAGATGCATGCAGCCAGGACAGACAACCAACACCAGGGCGCCATCCAGAACATTGAACCCGGTATGCCACGACAAGGACGCAACTGGTTTGTGGCCTTGTCGTCAGACAGCCAAAAATTTTCGAAAAGATAAAAAAAAAAAAAGAAATAAAGAGAGAATGAGAACGAGTGCTACACATGGAGAAAGAGAGAACCCATTCAGGCCTTACACGGGCCTCTGCTTTTATTATATCTACTATTCTATTTATGATTCTTTTATTTCCCTTATAAAATTTATTTTCTTCTACTTTCTTCTCTCCTTCCTTTTCTTCCCTCCTACCTAAACCATTACTCCAAATGTTTCCTTCCTCTAATCATCCCCGTCACTTCCCCTTCATTATCTTTTCTTTCCTCTACATGTGTAGCAGAGTGACCCTTTCCAGTCCAATTCCTCTTTCTCCTCTTTCATCAATGTATCTACCATGTACACCGGGTGGTTTGTGCTGTCGAATTCGTCATCCTTCCAACCAATTTACCTTTCTGTGTTTCGATCATCTCGTTACACCAAACTTTCACGGCGAGTGGGTGTTCTTTTTATCTTATGCTGCACCTGACTCGGATGGATCCTTTCTTTGTGTTTCTAACAACAACAACCCCTCCCCCTCTTCATTTCTGCTCACTGATTAATCTTCTAGCGCTTTACTCTTCCACTATGTCGTTAGTTCTTTTCAGGGGGGTGCTTCGTCCGGCTGTAAGAATCAATAATAAGAAAAGAATTTTGGTATCAGTCCGTCTCATGCGTCCGGGCTAACGAGGTAAATTGCCTTGGTATGTCCTTTTCTGAGGATGGTCTATAGATCTACCGGTCCGAATATTGATGAGTCTAATCGCTAATGTCGCTGTCAAGTATGGTACATCCAAGGAGCTGTCGTGCTGCTCTAAATTATAATATCACAAAGATGATAGAAATCGAATACCTGATGCTAGTTAACTCGGATCACCATCATTCCTCCCCTTCGTCCTCCGCCCGCTCCCGCCGCCCCCGATGATAACACGTCCGTACCATCAACCAAGTCCTTGATGCTCTCAACTCGCCCTCGGACCTCGTCAGCCTCGACTAGCTCGGAAATCTGGCTCAGGGCTTCACCGTTGGGGCTGACGAGGATGAAGCGACTAAGCACACCATCCTTGCGTGGCTCATCATCCTCGAGAGGATTCCTGGCTTCCGCCGGCGTTGAGTCTACCGCGGTCAAGACAGCGCCGTGTTCCTTGATGACCTTTGGAGAGTGTGCTTGCTCGAACATCTGCTGGCCAGCGCAGTCCAGGACGACATCCACCGGGTCCCAGCGGTTCTTGCGGAAGATAGACCCGAGATCATAGTCATGTGGTAGGGGAAGTGGCGCAAAGATCGTCGCGTCCACGTTGTATTCTTTCCGCAGGCAGTCCTCCTGGTCTTCAGCGTCACAGGTTGCGCAAATCCAGGGCCGAGAGTGCGGAAAGAGCTTATGCGATCGGAGCAATTGTAGTGCCTGAAGGCCAACCTCATTGTTGCGTGCGTTGGTGATGAGAACCCGTAGCTGCTGGCGACCGAGTTTAACGTCGGTGGTGTCAAGCCCAGCGTAATTAAATATCGCCTCCCAAGCCGTCAAGGCGGGCATAGGGATAGTAGCTGCTTCAGCAGCGCTGACGTTCTTGGGCTTGTATGCCAGCTCATCTTCCGATACGATGACGTAGTCGGCTGCTGCACCGTCGCGCGTGTGCTTGATCAGCCCAAAAACGGCGTCATCAACCTTGAATTTAGGCCCGTCTGGGTTCCAGTGGTCTTTTTCAGGAGTACTAATGACCGTACCGCAAAAGCTATGCAAAGGGATCTGCGGTATGGACTTGGATGGATTCAAAATATTAGACAGTCGGAGCTCATCATGGGAGAAGGCTGCTGCCTTCACCTTGACGAGATAGTCGTTCCCCGAGGGGATGGGAGTTTGAAAGTCCGTGTCGAACTTCACGTGGGAATCCATCCTAGGCTCATTCATAGATGTGTGGTCTGTGACAGCTGTTGATGCCGGACTGAAGTAAAGCGCTCTCATGGTTGGTGGCACGAACGTCTGTTCGTCCATCGTGGTTGACTGAGGCTTTGCGGGCTTCATGAGGATTCACTCAGCTTCGCCAATAAGTGATAGTATCACAGTATCCGACCGTATTCAGTCGAGGAAGTGTTCGAACTCAATTGATCTAAATCGCTGCGATAATACAATTGCCGCGAACCTTCGTTATGCTTGGTGCCAAGTGGGATAGATGCTTTCAGTGGATGAGCCTTGACTTTGGTATATTCTGAGCTTTTTCCAGAGATTTAGGAGAAATAAGATGATCTGCAACCTCTGAGTGCACGGGTAGCTTAGTATAAATTCTGGCGGGGGCTGCAGCCACCGTGGTTGCGGGTGAACATACTCTCATGTTGACGTAACCCAGGGAGGAACGGCTTATCTCAGCACCGTCAATAGATCGACTGATCAGGCGATATTGAGCTCATCACCAGCTCTTTTGGTGGTGGCGGAAGATTCTTTGGGTTGACCAGGCCTTGTTTTGGGGATTGTGCCTGTCGACTGCTTGACTTGAGTTCAGCCACCAGATGATGCACTTCCGCTGGTTGTTCGAACACCCTCCACACATGCTCTGGAATACCCGCAAACGCAGTTTTGAATCTCTCTGGGGAGTTCTGTTCGTCCAAGTGAGGCACGTCGGTGACCTTTCTGATCCAAATCGCTTGAATCCAATGCGGATGCCTCTTATAAAGTTCTGCGTAGGCTTCGGGATCTTGTTGGGTGGAGTCTCCGATACAGAGCACTTGGCGCTTGGGAAACCAACCATAGATTTTCTCCCCGCGGTCCACCTTGTACTCCCGTGTGTTAACGGTGAAGGACTTCACTAGCTCGCTGATATCCAGCCAGGATGAGTCTCGAAGGATCATCGTACCAGGACTGAAGTATGCACCAAGGAACCCGTGTAAAAATGGGTATAAATTATATGGGGAAGCTGAGACATAGAACCATGCCGGTACAAGCTGGTTCTGGATATGGGCGTAGAGCTGAGGCATTCCGGCAATGGGTTTAGGGTCTTCGACGAACGTGGTGCGAAGGATGCCAGTGGACTCCGAAGTTTTGGTGTACTTGATTGTATCGTCGATGTCGGAGACGACAAGCCAACCTTCTGGGCCAGCAAAGATGGTGTCCATAAAAACTTGGTTTCCCCAACCTCGAAGATATGATCTGATCTTGGTGCCATCCTTGATGTGCTTGCTGTTTGCGCTGATTGTCTGACTACTGATGCCATTGTCATCGGTGGGCCCGATCTTCTGCATCTGGATGGTGCTGTTCGGCAAAGGGGTTTCTAGCGTCATTAGGTGTGCAGAGGCAGTATGAAACAGGAATGGCTGTAGCCGTTCTGTTATCCGATGGCGTGTCTCCTTGTCCGTTCCCATCTCTCCGTCCAGTCCAATGAGATCTGCAATCATGGCGACGAGCTTGGTGATATCCCTTCGGCTATTCTTGCGGAAAGCGCAGGCCACGACTTCTGCGCGCCATGATACCTGTTTTGATGTTGTGGCCGCCGGTAGCTGATAGGCAGTGTTATCGAACAACCATACGGTATGCTGACGAGCGTCTGCCGCTTGAATCGATTGGGGCTTTGAGATGAATGATGTGACCATTTGGAGCATGCTTGACTCTCGCTTCCACGCATGGACTACCCGCGCGACCTTATGGAGGACGGTAGGATCTTTGAGGTTTGTATCAGAAGACATTGTTAGTGCGTATATGCTCGTGTGAGTTCAAATCACTGATGACTGCGATGTGATTAGTTAAGTCGAATTGCTAGAAATATGGAAAGATACGATAGCGTTCTGCAGAAGAGTGAAGATTTGAAGCCAGTTTATAGCCTCCTAAAATGTACAGTATCGGGCGCCACGAGGCAGGCAGCCTCCTGATCTTGCAGGACTGCATCATGTTGATCCCAAGCCGCAGGGCAGTGGCATCTATACGAGCTCAGGCAGCCAAGCCTGAGTCATTTCCTATTTTGAGGAGTCAGGGGAACAAGGCCATAAGGCTGTGTCCCTGCGGGGTATAGGATCGACGGAGATATGCAGACGGAGAAATACATGCATGAGATGGCTCGCTGCCTGGCGCCCACGTCAGCCTTGACTGACTTGTGACCTATGGGATAACAAGGCGCAGCGGCTGACCAGCCCTCCCGGGCGTGGATATGGGACAGTTATCTACAAGTAACGCAGGAACAGGGCGGGCAGATCCCTGTATGTTACGAATTTGGACCGTTGCTGCGTGCGTAACTTGCTGCAGTGAGACTGCCGAGAGGTGCTCTGGGCTCGGTTTCGTAATGATATTGTTGCGATGACTTATTTGAGCGAAATGGATGTTTGTTAGTATGAAGGTTATGTTAGTTGCATGGTAGTTGGCCATCGGAAAACCAGTCACGCGGCATTTTGAGTCGGTCATGGCATAACTGTAATGGCAGCCTTTTAGTTTTCTGTGACTGGAGCTTCTGACAGACGGGATGATAGAAAAGATGAAGAGGGAGAGAGAGAGGAAGAAAGTGAAGAGAACCAAAGACGAGAAGTAGATCAAAGACAAAGAAGGAAAGAACGAACCACTCGATCAGTGGGGCTTCCATATTAGGAAACTGGGTCCTTTTTTACTTATCTACTGGCCCGTCACATGACAGGCCATCACAAACAGAGAATTGCGAGCACACTTCGGATGGCTGAAAATACGGTCCGTGTCAACCTGCTTGATCTCACATTCCAACTAATTCCTCCGGACATCGTATCCGGCCGTTGTATTTGTACTTGTCTCAGATCACGTGGCTGTGCCACTGGGATTGCGTTTGCGGTGAAAACAACTACTCCTAGTTCCATCGCCTCTATATTACCCGCCTTTCAACAATAGTGTAAACGAACGGTTTTACTACCATGCAACACAGTTTACATGACTAATGAAAGAAAGACTCATGTGCTGCAGCTGAATAACGCATTGCTAGCTCACATCCCAAGCCCGGGCGAGCTATGTCAAAGATGACCGGCGTCACCATTGACCGGCGAACTGGCCAGGCCTACAGAGAGATGGCCTTTCATCCTTCCAAGTACCCAAATGGGTCCTTTTGGGTTCATGAGTCTCCGTTATTGCCAAAAAGATGGGAGGAGAACAGCCAACATGGGGCCCCCTCATTGCAGCACTCGGCCATGAAATGCCTGTTGTCTGATCAGAGGAGACTACGGCCTGAAATATTTGCATACGTACCCTGGCATATTGCTAGCTACCTCTGGGATTGTCTTGGCAAGAGGTAGGATGAATCGGATTATTAAAACGGATCTGGCCTAACTTTTGCCGTAGCAATAGAAGAACTCTACACAGCTGGAAGCTCTTTGCTACAGCCTACCCCGAGCAATTCCGAGAAGTCAGCCCTTACCGCTCCTATAGTACCAAAAGCGTGAAGATGAGCATGCCAGAATACTGGAAAGTGGTGAACAGCGATGCCTTGAGTTGGCGGGCGGTGTTAAGTTTGGACCCATCAATCGCCAGGGTTCCTGACCTCGTGGAAATAACTAGTATCCGGAACCTGGTAGCTTTGGAGATATCATCGCCACCACAGACCTTGCATAACGGCGAGTCGTCCGGGGTCATGCTCAGCCATCGTGTCATCCGGTCGTGGAACGAGTTGCAGCAGAGTTCTGGGGCATTTGCACATCTCCGACTTTTGGTCTTGTCTCATCAACGCGATCTCTCAGTACAGATCCTCCAGTACCTGCGAGACTTTCCATCGTTGGAAATTGTTCTTGCACTGGACTGCGGAGATCTCACAAGGATGTCTAGGGATGAATTCCAAGTTGACGGATGGCTAGTAGATCCCGAATCAAACCGGGGCGGAACTCTCTACGAGCAGTACCTATCAATCACCAACGCTGAGGCAAGAAAGTCGACCGGCCTAGACGCTGCCCCGGTTTTGAATTTCGAAATCAACCCTAGCCAAACCGAACGCCGCACGCCAATGAGAAAAGAGAAGCTATTCTGCTTCTACCGCGACGGCAGCAAGACTTACAAGCAGGAGCGAGAGTCAGGCCAAAAAAGGCCACGAGGCTATCCCCAGATGAAGGTTAAAAGACCAGACAAATACCGCAAGATAGGCTGGGAAGGACTGCTGGGAGACTTGACATGATTGTCAAAAGTGTCAGACCATCAAGTGGGGACTGTATCCATAGTTAGTGAATGCTGACTGGATGATGTCACTCCGGCCAGTCTCAGGGACGGTCGGCCGTATCTCGGCCGCCGGGACCACCACAGGTGTGGGTGTTGCAGAGGTACCTGCATAGCTGTAGACCGGTGAGAAGCAGATGATTTTGGTCGATTCGATAGCGTAAGGAGTGTATAGAACGATTGAGTGGATGTTGAACGAGACTAGGAGATTTCCAGACTGGAGCTGGATGACGCCGGGATGACAAGCGGGGACTTGTGATTGGACGATTAAAGGGAGCCGCCGCATCCCCGCCTTTTTGGGGGGCTTCGAATGAGTGACTCTCCTTTGACCTTCGCCCCTCCCATTTGGACTCGCTTCTCCTTTCTTTGCAGCCCGCACTGCCACTTTTGATGCTGTTGTTTGTCTCAAATCGGGAGCATCACCTCCCCAAATCTGGTCTCACGTACTTTTGTACAGCTACTCCTATCCGGAGCTCTCCTTGCACGCTAACTACACCCCTCCTCCCTCCTTACCTAAGCTCTTCCCCGACCTCCCATTTCCGTCCACCATGACGGACCGCCCGATGGAAACGGTTGCAGATAGCAATTCCAGTGGTTCAAATATCGCATCTCCCCGTTCTAGCACGGATTCCCGCACTCCATCCGCAAGCGTTCGGTCACTCCGCCTCTCCTCGCACGCTCCGAACCATCAGCACCGTCAGAGCATCAGCGATACTCTCCGTGCGACACCGGGGTCGCCGCGGGCACGCCGACAGCCCTCCCTGACACAGGCCGCCATCCAGAGTCTCATCGACAACCCTCCTGCCCCGAACAATGCCAACCCCGCGTTTGTCGGCCGAGACTGGCGGGAGATCTCCATCGGGGAGCTGGTCAGTCCAGACGACCTGAAGTTCGTCGAAATAAACACAGGAATTGAGGAAGCGACGAATGTGGGCGCTGCTGCTAGATCCTGATAGAATATCCGAGTCGTGGGCTGACTCTGCTAGATCTTGATCGACACCGGGGCTCCGGTGCTGCTGATCCGGGAATCACCCCAGCACAAGTCGGCCGTGGGCACCTTCGACTACGCCGATCTGAATGCATATCTCCTGCTGGCGGCGGGATTAACACAGCCGAATGAGGAGCTCCTTGCCTCGTACGAAGAACTCGCCCGCAAAGCAAAAGAAGGCATTCCAATTCCGCTGCGAGATGTCAAGGATCTCGGTCGCAAAGAACCGCTGACGACGCTGCCGGCATCGGCCAGTGTCATGACCGCTGTACAGACGTTCGGCGGCGGAGTGCATCGCGTGGTAGTGGTCAGCGAGCGGGATGACAATGAGGTACTGGGCATTTTCAGTCAATTCCGGCTGGTCAAGTTCCTGTGGGAGAACGGCCGCAGCTTTCCTGTGATCGACCAGCTGTATCCGCAGTCGCTGCATGATTTGCGGATCGGGTCGCGAGATGTGATTTCGATCAAGTGCGTCCCATGGACTATTATTTGAAAGATTAAGCTAATGCTGTATAGTGGCGATCGGCCGCTCGTTGATGCGCTGCAGATCATGAATGAAGAGGGTATCTCGTCTATCGCAGTGGTGGACAGCCACTTTAATGTTGTCGGCAACATTTCCACGACGGACGTCAAGGTACGCAGCACCATGTGGTCGAATGAGCACCGCTGACCAGACCAGCTTCTCACGCGCTCATCATCGCTCCCGCTACTGCGCAACACATGCACGCATTTCATCTCCGTGATTCTGTCGAACCGCGGCCTGGAAGAGGGCAAAGACTCGTTCCCGGTCTTTCACGTGAATCCAGGGTCGACACTAGCGCACACCGTCGCCAAGGTGGTCGCCACCCGGTCCCATCGGTAAGTCTAGATCCAGCACATACAAAAGCGCAGCTACTAACAAACCACCAGCCTCTGGGTCACCGATCCGCTATCACCATCGTCATCAGGACCTCCTACGCCATCGCACTCATCCGTGCATATCCCACTGGTAACCAATTCGAGTCCGCCCCCGTCACCAGCCGTGAACAACGGCACCGCAGCACCCGCAGCATACCTCAGCGCACCGTCGATCCCGGCCTCGGCGCTACCCGGGGCACGGCTCTCGGGGCGGCTAGTCGGGGTAGTCAGTCTAACCGATATCTTGAACCTGCATGCGCGGGCCAGCGGACTCAGTCCGGCAGATCCAGCCGAGAGCCGTAGCCGACGACGACGCAGCAGCAGTTCGAGCGTGGGGGTGCGCCGTAGCGGCGAGATAGGTCGGGAGTTGTTTAGCGGGCGAATTGTCTGAAGCCGATTCCTTATCTCTCTTCTTATTTTTTTTTTCTTTTTTTCCTTTTCCTATTTTCCTTTCTTAGTATCTACTATGTCCAATTCTGTACCTAGATCGACCCCAAAGTACATATCAATCCAATCCGAACCCGTAGGATCAAAAAAATCCAAGAAATACCTGATTCAAGTCCATCGGAGATCCCCCCAAATCTGGAGTAAACCTGACATGGATGGGGATCTCGGCCTTATCCTTACACAATACGATCTATTACATACAACCATGTAAGATACCTCGTATCCTAAATACAAAAGCCCACCCCACACCCCGCCCCACCAGCAACAACTGCCCATTGACCAGTGACACAGTGACAGTATACTAAATACAGCGACTGAGCAGACAGTAAGTTGTGGATACATCCATACCTTGAATCAGCTGTACTGCACTTTTGGAGAAAAGGAAAAAGAGAAAAGCGGGCCCCGGCCATCCCCGAGACCCCACTTCTCCCCTACGTACTAAGTACTTGGGGATATTCTGGCTCTACGGGGTCCCAAGGTATTGGAAATGCTGACGGAGGCGATCCGTTAGGGGAGGATAGTCCAATGGGAGGGTGTTATACCTGGATGGGAAAGATTGGTTTGGTCTAGATTGGGGCTTAGGGTGGGTTAGATTTGGGGTTATGGGGGACTTGGACTCTATTGGGGGATAGATACGAGTAGGTAGGAGAAGGGATGTGAGTATTTCCGAGGAGTGTGTGAAGTGGTCACTAGGGAGGGTTAGGGTAGACGAGATTGGGAAGGGGAGTGGTGAGTGGCGGTGCTTAGTGGTAGTAGTACTTCTTCTTTGACCTTTTACTATGAGTATTGTGTTGGTGTGGCATTTAGTATTATCTACCATGTGTATGTGTGTACTTGGCAGGGACAATAATCCTGGTATAGTAGGTACTTTCATTTCTTCTCTTCTGTCTATCTATCTATCTACCTAGCTAGCTACTCAGTAAGCAAGACTAACAAAACAGACAACAACCCTGATGTAAGCAATCAAGCTACCTAGAACACGTTACACAAATCCATTCCCTCTTGATCTCTGGAGCAGCCATGATCATCCACCCCAACTCCACACCAGCTCCAGCTCCAGCCCCCTCCAACTGCCTGCCCATCGGGCTATCACCCCCCGAAGCTCCGAAGCTCCCAAGTTCTAGACTTTCAGTGTGAACTCCACTGCTAAATGGTAGATCGGCCGGACATGTAGCCAGCCCACATTTACAACGACAGTAGCACACAACATAACTCAGTGACTGTGTTCGGTTAGTGAGTGAACTGTCTAGTTCTCAATAGACCCATTCCGATCCCTATTCCCAGTAAATCAGGTAGCTGGGTTTCTCTTTTTCTCCTACAGTGGGAATGGGCAGCGGGTGGTGTTAGCCGAGACGGAAAATACTTCCATACTGGGTGTGGGTTTGTGGGTGGGAGTGTATTTACGAGGGACTTCTATTCTGGTAGTAGTACTTGGAGGTTCTAGATGGGAGGATAGGGTGTCTTTCTGTGTGGGTTTGATGGTAGTATGTAGTAGTAGAGTAGGTTAAGTGGATTCTAGTCTGAGTTCTAAAGACGCTGTGGATTGATTGGTGAGTGTTGAAAGTAAAGACAGGAAGGAAGTATAGAGTATAACTAACGAGACAATGAGAAGAAGAAGTACTTACTCTACCGAAAGCATCTACTGCTTGAAATTCAAACACAAAAGCTCAAACCTACATTCAAACTCTTCTTCAACATCCTCACATAAGAGACAGCAGACACAACGCACACACAAGAAGGGACACACTGAACTTACCCAGTACCTTCACCCACAAGAAGAGAGAAACAAGATCCAAGGAACCGAACCACCCGAACCTGAACCTACCCAGCTCCTTCATTCTCAATTCTTCCCACCGAGTAAAGTAAGTTAAGTTACACCCGCCCTAACCCGATTCCTTCACAGTCAAAAGTAAAAGTTTATTGAAAAGTTCATTGCCTCCCGGCTTTCCCTAAACCAGGACTAGTGGATTTGGAACCCACACTAGCCCCATCCCAGTCTAGCACAGACCAGCCAAATCCACACTAAGCCCACAAACCCACAAATCAGTATTCTCCATTTTCTCATACTTAAACTGCAATGTGCGAATGACCTGCATTTCTGCAAAACTAATGCAGATCACCTTCCCGTTTCCACTTGCTGTCCCGCATTAATCAACGTTAAAGTAACTTAATCCTTTTCCATTGAGGAGGTGCTCTGGTTGATTGGCTGGTGAAGGGTGAAGTGAGTGGGTATTCAGTCGTACTGTTTCTCGTGATCGAGGCTGGTCTCTTTGGTTGCTTCGGTCGATCAACGCTATATTTGACTACGTACCTCTGGTATAACTCAGTATAGGTTGGTATTTAAAGAGGGAGGGTTAAGTAGAGAAGAGGGGTAGGGGTTTGGGGACCCACACAAGCTCTCTTCTTCCTTTTCTTCTTCCTCTTCCTCTCTGCTTAGCAGGCATTGGTGGCGGCGGAGGATTTCTAAACAGCTTCTTGTGCAGAGGAAGTATCTAGGGTATAGAAGGGAACTCTATCAAAATGTATTCTTTTGAAATGGTAAGAGTAAGTAGATAGTGAGGGAAATACTTCTACCTCTTCTTCCTCTGCTGTATGTAGTATCTGCAACTATCCTATACACCAAAGAAGAGAGTCAATTTTGCAGCTCTAATGTAGATCCCCCATCACCCACAAATACCAAAAGCAGAGCAGCATCACAATTAGATAAACTCAGCACTAAAGCGCACATCTCCCTCGTCCTTACCAGATCCCTCAGCTGTCCCCTCCCCCTCCCCAAGATGTCAACATGTCGACAACCCACCCTGACGAAAAAGAAACAAAACAAAATAATAACTACAATAATAAACAACAGACGGGAAGCCCGGCTGTTTAAGGAGACATGAGTGGATGGCTAGTATCGGCTAAAACGGTGTGCCTACCTACCTTTTACCTACCAAGTAACCAAGTAAATCCTCTCCAATCCATCCTTATTAGTTATTAATAATGACTACCTAAATCTCTACAGACTGACTAAGTAACTAACATGGGACAAACTAGCTAAGCTCCCCATGTCACTATTACCTGGCAGCTCAGCTGATCCTCACTATTTTATTTTATTTATTATTCTCATATTCTCTCACAATATTATAATAAATATCGAAATATTTATTATTTATTCCCGCACAGAATCAGATAACCTAAAAGAAAACAGCTGTATTATGATCACTCTATGTCCTCATAATCCAATTTCTTTTTTTTTCCTTTGTGTAACTCGTATAACTATTAAGCCATTATGATGCAGCCCACTGAATGATAATGCCGCGGGATTTACAAATTGAATCCTGAAGAGAAAAATTTTTTCTTTCACTCCACTAATTTATAAGTTCTAACTGACGAACGGTCCTCTGCTCAAGGACGGGATCGATGCATTCGTGTCGCTGTTTGCGGAAATGTAACCTCACCTCCAAATCTCCACCCACCTCTCACCTCCCCGGAGAGCTAGGTTCCCTGGAGCTTGGGGAGCTTCACACCCGGTCTAGCTACAGAGTTCAGGACGATGGGGATCCACTTGACTGGCCCTGAGCTTGTTTGTTGGGGTAGGAGGGGGAGGAGTTACGAAGCTGGCTGAATTACCAACCAAGAATGTGTTAAGCTAAAAGGTATAGCATTCGCTATGGATCACCTGGTCAACGCCGCTCTCCGGGTATTGTCTCCCCTCGTACATACGACACCAACCAAGCCAGCAAGTCCCCACCCAAAGGAAGTAGTAGTAGTAGTAGCAGCAGCAATAACAAACACACAATAAAAAAAATATCAATAGTAAGACATAGTTTAGAGCAAAAGTAATCACTCAACGTATAGGGTACTCATGCACTAACGGGAAAATCCTCCATGGTAAAAAATTCATCAAACGCCGTTTCCGAATCCGGCAGTTGGGGACCGCTGCCCAGTCCAAATGCGAACCGGCTGAAATCTTCATAGTCAGGATCCATATGGTGCTCCTGTGCGTACCCCATCACTCCCTCGTCCTTGTTCAGGTCTAGCCCCCAGAGACCCGGGTCTTGTCCCGTCGATGTAGGGGACTGCGGTGTGCTGGGCGTCGGGCACAAATCTGGCGTCGGCACTGGCTCCGTGGAATCCATCGGCATACCTGGCGGGGAGTTGAGCTGGGACAGGTTGGCCAGGCTTTGCGTCCGCAGAGCTTGACCAGGCTCCGACCGGACTCGAGTGTGCTGGTACATCGGGTGGGCCGGTCGAGGACCGGCCGACGCCGATGAGGACGAGGAGGACGTTGTTGTTGTTGTGGGAGGTACCGTAGCACTAGTGCTAGATGCTGCGGGAGTTGCAAGCAAAGGGGAAGGCATCGTGTGAACGGGAATGACCGGCGCCGACCCCATGCGGTCCCGGAACTGACGAACCGGCATGGCGCCCATCTCGCCCATCGTCGTGGCCGGGATGTGCTGTGACGGCGACACGAACCCTCCTGTCCAAGGCGATCGCATGGGCTGCGGCCCGTTCAGCTGCGCCGGCCAGGTGGGTCCACCCGCGGTCTGGGTGAGGTAGGATGGTAGTTGGCCCGACGACGCGGGGACGACGCTGGGATACGACGGCGACTGGGAAGTTCCGTCGTATGTGGGGGAAAGCACATAGCTACCCTGGTGTGGTCCCAACGGACTGGTCATTGGTCCGGTGTTCATGCCGTCGGAGACAGAGGCACGAAGCCCAGACAAGTCCAGACTCATCTTGCGGATGCCGTTAAGCGATGCCCGCGGGTTGAGGTGGGAGCTGGCCCGACGCTGGTGCAGAGCACTTGGACGGTTCGCAAAAGCAGCCATGAGATTGCGGTTGAACTCGGTTTGCAGCTGCATCGACTGAGCGTGCAGCATACGGTTGATTTTCTCTTGGTAGCGGTCATCGACCTCTTCGTACATGGCCTCGCGTTCAACGATTTCCCGGCTGATGAGGAGAGCCTTGCCGGTCCGTTGCTTGTGCAGGCTGGAGGCCCGGTTGGCCGATTCCACGCGAGCATCTAAGCTGCGGTCTTTACGGCGGGAGGCGGCTATGAAGGCACTGTTTCCTCGTCAGCGGGTTTGCAGGCAGAGAAAAAAAAAAAGTGGCCAAATAGATAGCCTACCGTTCCTGGTTCTCCTCCTTTGTGCGGGGATTGGGACAAACATCAACATCGATGGCGGGGGAGCCCATCGTGAGAGTGTGTGTAGCGGATAGTGACGGGGAAAGCAGTGTAGCAGTGTAGCAGTATGGTGTGATGTGTGGCGCGGCGTGCGTAAGCAGGGGAGACTGAGCAGATGACTGCAAGGTCGACAGCAGTTTTGAGGCAGGAGGGAGATGTTTCACCACGCCTTGTACATAAGAAAACAATAATAGAAAGGGGGAACAGAAAAGACGGGGGGTTGAAGTTAAATAAAATGGCAGCTCTTGAATTAACGGCAAGCCAAGGAGGGGCATCCAACAGTGAGCAGACCGTCAGTAGAGTTGACACCGGGCGTGGTTCAAGCAGCGAAGTTTAGCTGTCAGGTCACAACAGCTCAGCCAGCCAAAGGCCGAGTCTAGACGAGACATCCAGCACCGGGGCAAATCTGGGTCGCCAAAACAAGGGCCGACCAAAAGTCAGGCTCCCAATGAACCATGGAACGAGCGACAGCGCAAGGTTTCTTGCAGAGCCGGGTCTCAGGCCTGGGAAGGGACTGGATCCCATGGAAAAGCGGAAGTCTGAAGTGGGTGACTAGCAGGGGTGGCTAGGAGCGAACCGGAACCATTTTCCAGGGAAACCAAAGAGAGAGTGTGTGTGTGTGAATAAGGAGCAGGCAATAGTACTAAGTTGACGAAAAGAAAACGAATAAAGATAAGCAGATGAGGAAACAAGAAGATGAGATTGAGATGAGCTCGAAGAGGTGAGGAGAAGAGAGGAGGAAACAGACCAGATTGAGTGGGGGGGGAAGCTACACACGAAGCGGAGAAATCGCATCCCAGGATGATCCTCGTGATGGGGAAACACGATCGATCTTGTCAGGATGAAGTCGCCGGCAGGTATCTTGCCAGTACTTTCTCAGCGAGAAAGTACATCCCAGTAACTAGTAGACTATACCGTTACGAGAATCTTACTAAAGATACACTACTAATACTACCCGAACAGCCTAAACTAGTGCAGAGATCGGCCAGGTCCGATCCCACAGTATGATTGGCTGTAACAGCTTATCTTTACCGTATCGGGTAGGATGACAGATGCGCGGGTTTTCGTCCGTAATCCGAGCGTACGCGCTACTGTAGGAACCTCGGGGAGTTGTTCGGCCTCGTAACTTTCACCACCACTTCTTCTTACTCTCCACCGCTGATCTTCCCCTCTGCCTCCACCTGCCAGATCTTCAGTCCAAGCCACTATCTCTATTTACTGTACACAGACAGTTGGACCGATTAACAGCGAGATCAACAGTAGACAAGAATAAGAGATGTGGATCTTTCATCGACCTGACGCATACCTAATCTGGGAATTCCTCTACCCTGTCTGTCTGGATAAGAGCTATCTCGCTTCCATTATTGGATAGTTACTACTAAGTACTCACTCACTCACTCACAACAACAACAACAACACTAATTTGATGATATGAACATATGAACAGTGAAATAGAAGTAAGAACATCGCCAAGACCCTCGCTTAACAACAACATAGACATTATTGCCCATAACCAAATAACTACACCATATCTGATCGCCTCCCCCTCCATACAAATCAGGCCATATCCCCCTCAAACCCACGGAATCAAGTCTGGATAACAACCACCACCCAAAGTAAAAATCCCGTAGCCACCGCCACGCCACCTACCCAAACCCCAGGAACAAATTCCTTGCCCTCTCGCGCTCTCTCTCTCCTTCCAGCTGCCCATCTAGTAACTCTACCCAGGTACTTAGCTACTGCCCAGCACCTTCGGCAAGCTCGTCTACTTTCCCTTTCCAGCACTACAGACAAGACCCTGTCGCCTTATGTATACCTAGACCTCACTCACTCACTCACTCACTCACATACATCTAGGCTTTCCCTCGGGCCTTATCCTCTTCCCCCTTTCCCAATCTAGTTCTAGTTACCCATATCGGCTTCTACCGCCATCCACCCAACCCAAACCATTCATCTATCCCATCATCCCATACAGTACTATAGCTCCCATCTTCCTCTCTACGCCCCCTCCCCGCCCCCCATCGCCCCCTTTTTTTTCGCCACGAAAGAGAGAGGCAACCCCACATACGTACATGGTACCTACCCCGGGGACATCACTAACTCGCGGGATATGATGTTGTTGCATGTCTCCTGTCCTATCTGTGTCCTTGGTTAGGCTTGGCTTTTTGTTCGTGTGGCTGGCAAGGGGGCGGCGTGAATTACAGGGACCAGGTTGATGGGAAGAAAACCCAGTACCTAGGTTAATGGGTGAAAGTCCGGGCTGGTTCTAGAGGGGGGAAGGGGGGGGGTGGCGTTTTGGTTTGGTCCGTGAGCCCGGTCGGGCGAGGGGGGAAGGGAAACATGGGTTGGATGGATGCTTTGCTTGCATTGCGTGCATAAAATGTAGATTGATGTAGGGATGGGATGGTGATAATGGATAATTGATTTGATTTGTGACAATACAGGGGACAATTGGTTTGTCTCTTTTTTTTGTTTCTGTGGTATTGGATTACTTGGTTTTAATTAAGTTGTCGTTGGTTAAGTTCATTTGGGCATAGGAAGCTAGTCAGCTAGAGACTTAGTAGGTACTAGTAGCTATTACTTACTACCTATCTGAGGAGGAGATGGTGTAGGTTGGGGGGTGGGCTGTCAAACTTGCTTGAGTTGGTATACACAGAATAAAAGGGGGAAAGGAACTAAATCATCCCCACAAGGGCAGGCAACTATGCAGGGCTAGCTAGCAAGAGAAAAGCTATCAATCACACTTTCAAACAATCCCCTCCCCCTCCCATCAAACACGGTGGAGAAAAGGGAAAAAAAGGTGTGGGGGAGAGGGGATAGCAAGAAGGGAGACTAAATCCTGTCCGACAAAAAGTGTAAGTAACAGAAAGTTATCAAATCAGGCTATACCCAACGACGGCACCATCCCCTGTTCCTCCTTGTGCTCACTGCCCACCCGGTACGACACTCGGAACCGCATTTTGATGGAGTTGCCCTTGCCCCCCGCTACCCCGGAGATGAGCATCTCCTGCTGCACTCCGTTCGTCTGCAGCGGTCCAATGTCCCGCCCGGACTGCGGGCGGAGTTGCAATGTGTACGCCTATGTGAATTGTTTAGCTTCTTCCTTTTCTGTCTGTCGGTTTCCCGTGCCCTGTCCAAAGGGAAGCGGGCAGAACTTTGCGACTCACCTTCTCCACAGCCACCTGGAAGTGTAGTTCATTCAGTGGCTGGCTCGTGCCGTTCGAAAACAGGGCCACCACATGGATTTGCTGCGACTGTTGGGGTTGTCGCCGCGCCACAAATTCAATTCGGAGAGCCGAATTCAGTACCGACACCCGGTTGGTGCTCGGTAGCGTGTTGCTCTCCGGCAGCGACGATGCAAAGTTCCATTCGTCCTCCTCCGCCGCCTTGCCGCTGCTGCCAACCGGTTGCGTCGGTCCGCTTCCTGCCAGATCAAGCAGGGACCCCCCAGGGGCTGCATGGCCTGCTGCCAATCCTCCAGATGGGAGGGGACTGGCATGTCGGGGACTAGCGGAGACCAGCGAAGCGAATGGGTCGACAGCGGGTGGGGGAGTGGGCGTCGCGACGATACTCTGGGGTCGTGCTCCTGGCACTGGAGTAGCTGACTGCGATGGCGGTTGAGAAGAACTGCCCAGCGAGGACAAGATGTCGTAGTTCGGCTTGAATCCAGCAGGAGCCTGCGGCATGGGTGGTGTGGCAGTGGTCGTAATCGCTAAGCACAAGCATTAGCCATGTCAAATCAGTCATGTCAGCAGCAGATGTCTCCTACATGGTCCTAACGAGATACCACCCACAGCCGGAGCGGGCTCGTCTATTGACAGCCCCAGCAAGTCGTTCTCCAATGAACTACCCCCGGTCGCGGCCGGCGCACCGTTGCCGTTGGCACTGACAGGCGGCTCCGGGTCGAAGTCGATAAGCGACAGCTGGTTGTTCGCATTCTTCGATACACCCGTCGTCGTGCCCAGTGTGCCCTTGGGGATCCGCGTTGCGGCTTCCCAGTCACCCTTCTTGACAAGCTTGTACCGCTCAATGGTCCGATGTATGCTGTCATTGATCTCGAGCAATTTGTGAACCGCCTCCGGATCGTCCGACTCCTCCTCACACATCTTCTGGATCTTGGGATGGGCACTCTGCAGCGCCCCAGCCAGTTCCTAGACAACCCGACAGTCAGTTGATGGTCAAACGAGACACTGCGCGCACCTCCAAGCTTACCTCAAACACATCACCCTCCGCGACCGGGTCGCCAGGCTGGTGACTCTGTAGCATTTCCTCCAAGATCTTCGCCTTCTGCTGCACCTTGGCGACCTCTTCCGCCGCCTTGGCCCGGTAATCAGTCTTGTGTCTGTTATCGTAACCGGCCATGACCTTCATCAGACGATTAGCCTCCTGCAGATCCGCAGGCGTACCCCTACGAATCAGCTCCTGCAATTTAGCCGACTGGGCCTCTTTCTCTTCCTCCTCCATCTCTTCCGCGGACCGCAGATTCTATTGAATGCCACTAGTCAGCAACTCTCCCTCGAAGCAGTGGGGGCGGGATCACGCACGTCACTCGGGTTCAAGACGGCTGCATCCTCATGGCGAATTTCCGGGAACACATAGCCCTTGTAAAGTAATAGCCGATGCATATCACGAATATGGCCTAGATCCTCCTTATAGCGCGATGTCTGGCAGATCGTCTGTCTCCACTCCTCAATGGACTCGAGGATGCGATGTTGCACCCGAGTCGGCCGCAGCTGCGGACGCTCGGGGAATCGACGAACCAGCTCATTCAGAAACTCTTTAGTGCTGATCTGAAGGTGAAACGGGTAACCGCAATTTTTGACGCAGATGTCGAGAAGCTAAAAGGTGACAGGAGTCGCAGGGTGGAATGTTAGCCCCGCATTCAGGCACATCTAAGCTCCATTATGTGGTTGGTCTGGACAAAAGCCTACCGCCAATGCTAGTAACGCCACATTCTGATTCCGCGAGTTGATTAGATGGACGATTTCGAAGGCAGCTTCGCGAGGTCTGGAGGTGCAGGGTTGAGTGGTTAGTCAACGGCGCGGTCGGTGGACGCGACACAGTAGTAGCAACTCACGCATTGCCCTTCTTGGAGTTGATCAGATCGGCCACTTCAAGGTTCAGGGCGAGGTTGGGTTCGTAGTGCGACAAGTCGCAGGCATTTCCTGTATTAATCGTAAATATTTAGCCAACCAAGAATAAAACAAATCTGTATCGCGGTGTGTGTGTGCGTGTTGCTTTTGGGAGGGACAAGAACAGGGGTGACGTACGAATAGCCCGTTGCAGCGGTGTTAAGCCCGGCTCAGCGTAGGCACCGAAACGGTCCCTCGCTGCCATGCGTGCTGAAGCGGCCTCCAGGGTGACGGCGGAATATAGGTAAGATGGATAAAAGGAAGAGGAAATAGAAGCACAATTGACAGAGGGAGTCAGTCGAACAGGACGACTCGGGGCGGAGTGAGGGGAAAGGACCGGAGAGGGAGAGATAGAGAGGGGAGATGAGTTAGTAGCTCGAGTCGAACTGACTTGACTTGGTTTACTTGCCCGACTCCGGCTGGCTGGCTTTAGTTCGTTTTCCACGTGTGGCGCCCGCCGTCATCTTCAACTTTCCCCTCCTTCATTTCTTTTAATTTTCCGCAGTTCTTCAATCCCCCCCAACTGTCACGCAAAACAACAATAACGACAACATATATACATCATGGTCCGCCATAAAAAGGACAACTTCGCTCGAGGAGGCAAGAAATTCTCCTCCAAGGGTCCCCGTCCTCCCCGCCGCGATCCCGCCGACCCTGACGCCGATGATGCCGACCGCCCCTCCAGACCTCCCTTCAAAGCCGCCTGCTGGGATCTGGGTCACTGTGATCCCAAGCGCTGTTCAGGAAAGAGGTTGATGAACTTTGGTCTGATGCGCGAGCTGCAGATCGGCCAGCGATTCCCAGGTGTAATTGTCTCGTACGTTTTCACCCATCCTTACCTACACAATACTCACAGAGGCAACCCCCAAAAACTAACATCTATATCACTCCTGTCCAGTCCCAACGCAAAGAAAATCATCTCCCCCGCCGACAAAGACCTCCTCGAACAATTCGGCGCCGCAGTAGTAGAATGTTCCTGGGTGCGAGTGAAGGAAGTTCCCTGGTCGCGGATCGGAGGCAAATGCGAACGACTCCGTAAGCCCTCAAACCCTTACCACCCAAACCTCCAACAACACTAACAAACTATCTTGGAATAAAATAGTACCCTACCTCATCGCCGCCAACACAGTCAACTACGGCAAACCCTGGCGTCTAAACTGCGTCGAAGCGCTAGCCGCCTGTTTCTGCATCTGCGGCCACGAAGACTGGGCCCGCCAAGTCCTGAAACCCTTCCGCTACGGCGAAGCCTTCCTAGAAATCAACGGAAAACTACTTAAGCGGTACGCCGCGTGCGCCGACGAAGACGAAATCAAGCGCGCCGAGGAGGAATGGCTGGCCAAGATCGAGCGCGAATATGAGGAGAGTCGGGCCGCGGGCGGCGCAGATATCTGGACGGTGGGAAATACGAATCGGAGGGCGGAGTCGGATTCCGATGACGATGATGAGGAGGGCTCTGGCAAGGAGAACAACGATGAGGAGGAAGAAGAGGAAGAGGAAGATAAAGACCCCTTCGCGATATCAGACGACTCCGAAGAAGAAGAACAAATGGCCGCTATTCGCGCCAAGATTTTGAATTCCAAGTCGTTTCAGAACCCCTCTGCCTCGGATAAGCCGCAGCCGGAGAAGATTGCTCGACCGGAGGAGGAAGGGTCCAAGTCGAGACCGTTGGAGGATTCGGATGCCGAGTCCGGGTCCGCGGAGGGTAGTGAGGATGAGGCGTTCGATAGTATCATCAATGCGACGCCGGTGACGGATCGGACGGGGATTATTGCGGCGCAGAAGAAGAAGGAGAAGGAGACCTTTAGTGCGTCGTTTTCGAGGACGGTCGTGGATGCGCCGAAGAGGTGGTAGGGGGGGAATCCTTTTCTTATTTGTCCTGCTTGGCTGGGATTGGATATGTTATTGGATTTGGATCTATAAAAGTTATATGATATGAGCATGCATCTCATGGGTACATATAAATAGGCATGAATATAATGAATGATACCCTGATGAAGTCGAGCATGGATGGAGTAGTAATTTATTGATCGATTGATTTTGATTTATCGTTCTTTTCTTCAATATGAACAGCGAAAGCCAGCCCCCATCCCAGTCACATACAATGCATGTAAGGCATAACGAGGCATTTCAGACATACTCAAGGCGATCATAGCATCTCACGCTTAGCCAGAGGGGTGGGTAGTAAAGGGAAGAAAGTGAAGAACAATGAATTGACTGAACCCCTTTTGCCCTGTTCCGAATGAAGAGAAATAACTACCCCCCGCAAGTACCCCGCAAATTACAAAGCAACTATTTACATAACATAGAGCAGATTCACGTCTAAAAGATTCCGTCAGAAAACTCCATCTTCCCAAAACAATCACGAAGCGACAGGCGACTGCTTACCCAAGGGATGGCTGCAGCTCAGCTGCGGCTTCTGTGTATACTTGGCGGACAACTCGTCTCGAATGCTGTTCAGCAGCTGCACGTAACTCTGCTGCGGGTTTTTGCGAAGCGCGCTGATAAAGGCCCAGGACATGGCGCCGGTGGCTTGGCCGGCGATCTGGGCGTCCTGGCTGGTCTGGTCGTCCTTGCTGCCGGACCACATAACTACGTCGGCCGGACTGGTCTTGGTCTGGATGGTGCGCTCGTATGCCTCGTCGCCCTTGGTCGCCTTCTTGAAGAACCCGACGGCCGTCGACATCATGCTGCTCATGTCGCCACGTGCGTAAGCCGACACCACACCCAGCAGGCCCTGACCCGCCTCCTTGGCCAAATTGGGCTCCTTGAGGATACCCTGGGTCGAGTAGATGTAAGGCAGGTCGAGCGCGGAACCCGAGTGACAAGAATCGAAGATAGCCGTCAGTCGGACACCCGGCTGCAGCGGTTTGACCATAATCCGGTGCATCTCGTCGTCAACAATGTGGCCCGCAGCCCGGAAATCGACCGGGTAGATAACTTCGTCGTATCCGTCATCTTCGTCGCCGTCGAGGTCAGGCGTCTGACCACCGTGTCCTGCTATCGTTAGAACCAATCCATCAAGTCGGGGTTTTGCTTAGGACATACCAGAATAGTGGAAGAAGAGCGAATCGTTCGGCTGGGCATCCTTGACGAGCCAGTGCATAGCCCGAAGAATGTTAGCCTTGGTGGGTTGACTCATGGGGTTTTGTTGATCATCCGTCAGGACGACCATGTCTTCGCGAGCGTATCCGAAGTTCTGGTTCAAGTAGGTGGACATGTTCTTGACATCGTTGATACATCCGCGCAGCTGGCCCTTCTGGTTGAAGTAGTTGATACCGATCAGCAGCGCCTTTCTCTTGCCGGTGCAGCGCGAGTACTGGAAGTTGTAGCCCTGCGGCGCGCCTTGGCCGAAGCTGACAGGGTCGCTAGGGGGAGGTGCAGGGGCGCTGTGGTTGCCTTGGTTGTAGGAGTTATGGTAGACGTCGGCGATGCCTGAGAGAGAGAGAGAGAGAGAGGCGTCAGTTGGGATAGAAACTGGCTCGAAACATCGCAGCGACATACCTGGCCGGCCCCCATACATCGGGCCTTGGCTGGCAGCGGGATAGCCACCCTAGAAGAAGCGACGTCAGCTACCATCCAACCCAGCAGCATGCAGAACTGCGATGCATCCATCATGCAAGACATACATTATAACCATTCTGGGGGGGTTGCGATCCTTGGTACGGCTGAGGAGAGGGCTGATTGTATTGGTAAGGGTTGCTGGGAGGCTGCTGTTGGCGATAAGCCTGGCCGGGGTAACCACCGCCCCCGTAGGACGAGTGGTGGTGTGAGTGGTGAGGGTTCATCTGTCTGCCAAAGCTTCGTCAGCGCGACGTCTAGAAGTAGTGCTTTTTGTATTTTTATGATTGCTGCAGAGGGAACGGAGTTTATAGAGAACATAATCTCACGGAGGGGAGCAAGCAAGGAGATCTCACGGCTGCTGATATTGCGGCGGGGAGCCATAGCTCTGCTGCTGCGGAGGATAGGAATATTGCTGCGGAGGGTACCCGGGCGGGCCCGAGTAAGGTGGATAGTAGGACATGGTCTGACAAGAAAGAGGGGGGAGAGGGGGGGAAGAAGAAGAGATCAGGTGAAACCAGAAAAAAAAGGTTCGATGTGAGGATGGGAATGCAAGCCGGCAGGAAGCAGACAAATAAGAGGTGAACGAGGGATGGGGGGTGTGGGTGGGAAGGGGAAGGATGGAGGAGGAACAAGAAAAGGCGCAGGCGTCAGTCAGATGGCCGATGGCAGCAAGATTGCAGCAAAGCCAGTGCAGCGGATCGCGCCGATTGGGTTCCGGACCGGGGAGGAAGGGGGAATGATGATGGAATGAATACAGAAGATCAATAGATACTAAGAAAGACCCAAATGACTGGGAAACTACTAACTAATGGGCGATTCTTACTCCTCGAGGAAAAGCACGACTAAATTAATATCTTAATGGTTTCTCCTGCACGACGCACGTCCTTCCATTCGGTCCCTCCGGCGCAGAAAAACAAAGCATGCCTCGGTCTTCCCCGATCCCTTTTTCGTCTCTCCTGTGCTTCTGCTTCTTCTTCTTCTGCCATAAGCAAACAACGAACATGCCCAATTTCAGACAGCCAGCCAACCCCGATCCACATCTTAAATAGCACGGACTCGCCTATCCACCCCCTTGGGCCCAGAACACTCAATCCAGAAAATTCCCATCGTCCATTCCCTAGATTTCCAGCATTGCAGGAATCCTGGCTTGTTTTCTGCTTGCTGCACGTGACTGTGCAACACCCGCTACACCGAAGAATTGAATAGTTCCATACGTAGTAGACAGACACCCCAGGCACTGATTATAAACAACTCAAATTTTCCCCGTATAGTGATGGGATATTCGAAATTGGCTTTACTGTACTATTGGTACCTCTCTTCTTTCCTCCAACCTATCCCATTCCATCCTTCGTCTTCCGAACATTTACCGTCCACGCCGGGGCATGCCACGTCCGCGGCCTCCTCCAAGCGCCCGCTGGGCAGCACCCGGCGGGAGGCCTCGTGTTGGGGCCTGAGCTTGGGCCGACTCTTCGTTCTCTGTAAAAGGAAGAAAAAAGAAGAAACACCATTGGTCAGCCTGAAAGATACTATAGGGCTTAGGGGAGACACTATATCACTGGGGTACTCACTGATAGTCTCGTCCACACTCAAGATCAAGCATGCAGCCTCCACTGCCGCCTGAATGGCGTTCACCTTGACCAGGCTGGGCTCCCACACGAAAGCCGCCATGTTGTCCCGGACGCCCTCGTGATCAAAGTCGACACCCGCCCAGACGTTGCCCTTGCGGTGCTCCACCCGCAGCCGGTTCAGAATGTCCGTCGCATCGAAGCCCGCGTTATCGCACAGCTGGCGGGGAATCACCTCCAGAGCCTTGGCGAACGCCTTGACGACCGCCTGCTGCTTGTGGGGCACGTTGCGGTCCGCAAACCCGTGCATGAAGCTGGACAGTTCCATCTCAGTAGCACCACCACCCGCGACAATGGTCGTGTGGCGGAGAGCGCGCTTGACAATCATGATGGCATCGTGCAGACTGCGCTCGACCTCGGCAATGAACTGCTCCGCTCCACCACGCAGCACAAGGGTGCAGGTCTTGGCCTTGGGGCACTCGGAGAAGAGGTTGTAACGCTCACCACCAATCTGGCGCTCCTCGAAAACACCGCAGGTACCCAGGTGACGTTCCTGGATGTCGCTGCAGGTCGATTGAGTAGCCGCTCCGGTCGCCTGGCAGACCCGATCCATATCATCGGCCGCAACGCGACCAGCACAGAAGATGTCACGATCCGCAAAGTATCTGTAAACGAAGAGAGCAAGCGTAAGCATGTAGACCAGTTGCCAGGAAGTTGTGCGGGATAACCTACTGCGTAGCCAAGTCACCAATGGGGAGCTTGCTGAGAACAACCTTGGCTCCGGTCTTGTAGATAGCCTCAAGCTTGTTGTAGATGATCTGCCACTCGGCATCGACGATGGCCTGGTACTCCGACACATGCTCGACGCGCACCTCAGCGTTGTCCTTCTCGCTCTTCAATTCCAGCTCGACGTTCAGACAAACAATCTTCGGGTCCTTGAAGTACTTGGGCTGTTGCTCGAAACCGGCGTACGAGAAGGTCTTCTTGAAGGCGACACCGTTGACGAAGAGGGATTCCTGAAGACCACCACCAGTAACACGCTTCACACCGATCAGCTTCTCGTTAAGGTCGTCTTGGTCGAGCGACAGCACGGCGTCCACCACCACTGTATTTAGTCAGCATCTCAACATCCATGGATAGGGGGTTAACCCCTTACTCTTGGTGAAGAAGTCCGAGTTCCGCTTGATCAGCTTGCTGTTCATCGCCGTTCCGGCCAGACGTCGGAGCGTCTCAACCTTCTTCTCCTCGCTTCCCGCAGACTCGATCACGTCCACGGCGATCTCCTTGATCTTGTTGACGGCCATCGCACTTCCCCTCCGTAGACCCTTAACGATCGTCTGTGAACTGACACCCTGCTCGACAAGTTCGCGAACTTCCTTCAGAATCTCACCGGCGAGGACGACGACCGACGTTGTTCCGTCGCCCACCTCAGCATCTTGAGAGCGGGCAATATCCGTGAGAATGCGGGCGGCGGGGTGAACGATATCGAGAAGCTAAAATGGAAAGACAAGAACAAGTAAGCCCACGGAATGAAATAAAATAGAAAGGATAAAGCCTAGAGTTCTCCAAAAGGAAGATGTTAGAGTGTGTTTCTAGACGCACCTTCATTACGGTAGCTCCATCGTTGGTGATGGTCTGTCTACCGTTGCCGTCCACCATCAACAGGTCCCCTCCATAAGGACCGAGAGTGCTCTTGATCGTGGATTGCACGGCAACACAGGCATTGATGTTGGAGATGATCTGGCCCTTGCCCTGGGAGGTATCGGTGCCTGAAGCAAAAGAGAACAATCAACAGAGTCAGCAAAATCTCGCAGCAATGACACACAGATGCCAATGCAAATGCGGGCGGGTTGACGGACCCTCCTTGAGCACGATAATCGTGGGTGCTTGGCCAGCGAAGGCCATTTTGATGAGATTATTTCAGGGAAAGACGGCGGAGGAGAGTGAGGTTTGTGAGCCAACGGACAAGGGGCAACAGAAAGATGAGATCGTGGCCCTGAATGTCCCAGCTGGTCGGGGGTTCGATATCGCTGCTCGACCAAAATTTCCCCGAGCTTCTTTGGGATCGAAACTCTCCAGTGCTGGAGGCGGTGACCAATCAAGCCGCGCCCCGCAGCCCTATTTGCTGCGTTTTCCCCTCAAAAGCACTTTCTTGACATTTAGAAAGTCTTATAGTGAGCTTATACAGGATCTACTTTTCTTAGCATATAAGTTGTATTGCTTTATATTTTTATTCCATGGCTGTATATGGTTGATTTTACATCATCTGTGGTCACTTCGTCTCACCACATCCCTGAACCGTTCCTGTTGTCTAATCATATGAACCCCACCAGATTCCAGTATAACTCGAATAGTACTGGATAATTATAACCTTCTTGTGCAAATGGTGGAGGCTAGTCCGGTATAGCACTCTTTGCTCGAGGTAGGAGCACTATAGGCTTCCTCTTATGTACTGATAAGATTATAATCATCATGACTGCCTGGTAGCCACTCAGATATCCTTGTGATATATATACTACGTAGAGTGGTAAGGTTCAACTCTGGGGCTTCATAGAGTGGTATTCTCTACAGTGGCACCATCACGAGCTCCTACATACTACTATTCACTACTAAGGTCTTGAAATGCTCAACGATACGATATTGAAGTAGAGTAATGTGTGAGATAACCGCGATTGCCATTGGTCATTCTCTCATAAACCCCCTCGAACCTCGAGTAGTAGCATTACGTCTACCGTACAGATAACTAAAACACTCACCAGCTCGCTTACGAGTATCTCACACCATGAAATTATTATCTTGAGAACAATGTGTATGTAGGGTGTCGTAACTGCTAGACTGATCATATTTAGTGGCAATGGACGTAGTTTTTGCCGTCTCCCTGCCCCATGTTCACAGGTTACAGGGGTGGTGCGCCTTTAGCGCAGAACCCCCCCCTCGATAACATATAACCATCAAAAGAAGCCAATTTTTGGGCAGGTGTGAAATAAATTCCTGCCATGCGTTTCAATTCAAGTTATAGTAAGAAGTGGGAGAGATATATTGTAGACGTCCCGAGCACAGAGAAGTAATGCATAACCGAGATTACCCAGGCTGGCTCAGCTGGAGCGGCCACAGCTGAAGTCGATCAACTAGACCATAAATCGGGAATAACCTGTCGATCGTTCCAATTATTCAAGCCAATAATATACACAGTATTCAGCGTGCCTTGAGAAGCGGCGCAAAGTGATCAATAGCTGCGACCGCTAAACAGGGGAGGGAGTGGAACTGGCACAGGTTTTGGTGGAAAGTGGAGTACCTATTGATAGGACTTGGAAAGGGAGAAAGGGAGAAACACGGAAATCGACAGGTTTTAGCCCAAATTGCTGCTGATTGTTGCCAGTATCATTAGGTTCAAGTGCTCGTTGCGTAAGAGATCGATATAATGCATGCGACATAAAACGCTCATCTGCGCGACATAGGCAGGCATCTTTGTTCTAGGCCCCAAATTATAGATGTCTTGATACTGATCGTACCTGTAAATTGGAACGTAAATTGTCCAAGTCGAAGTCGACGTAAGTGTATCTGTCTGGGGACTTCGGGTTTCCTATAAGAAGCTTTCAAACACACTGGGGAGTAATGCCACTGGAGGGATCACTGCGCGAGCATCATCCATATGTATGGCCATGGCTATGATCCCTAGCTCAAGGTCCGCTATCCCTACCGATACATCTAATTGATTTCTGATTGAATTTATCGTTTTTTAGAGTCTCCTTTGACCCGAGTCAACTGATGCGTTCCTTTCCCACCGGGCTTTCAGATAGGCAATTTGAAATTGCCAAGAGACCTTTTTAGGCTCAGTTAGTATTCAAGAGGTCTGATTGCGTTTCAGTCAGCGTTAAATAAAAAAACCAAGGTCCTACAATGTCCGAACTATCAAGTGACTGGTGAAATGCATAGAAAGGTCTCCTCGAAAGAGGTGCTTTCCGTGTCACTGTCGCATGGTCAGAGTGGCAATTCAGAATAGTCCCTCAAAGGACAGATTACGCGCTGTTCTATTGACGTATGTCAAGGGAGAGATTCGAAGTCAAATCAGTTCTTAAAGTAGGTGATCCTTCGTCCGATTGCCCTTCTGGTGCCAGGGTCGATCAGGCAACTTCGGTCTATGAGAACTCATGAAGTCCTAGACGAAGACGGGGCATATAAAAAAGAAAGTTCAAACTCCTCCCAATAACTACAACCGATATGTATAACTTGTAGGTCGTAAGCAGATCTACCGCGGCTGAAGTTTGCAATGTTACACAGCCAGCTCATGCGTTCTTGACGTCTCCACACGGTCTTGAGGACAGTCTGACAGGCAACTATAGATGCCTTGACATATAATTGCCTGATCCTATGAGACTGCACCAATGGCTTGTTGTATTTGGCATCGAGTTATCTTTTCAAGAGAATGAGATATGCCCATTTCAGTTGCCTGAGTGCCAATAGTAGCATGGCTAAGATAGTGATAGGATGTCAAGAGGCAGGCGCTTGTGGCGCAACCGGGGCTCTCGGCTGCTAGGATCTCCAAGATGAACTTGCGAATCATCGAAGATAACTGTTGCAGTGTATGACTCCAATCCAAGACATCATACTGCAGTGGAATAATCAATACTGGAGTTACGTTTTAGAGGAACGTAGATCATGCTGGTCAGGTGATTCAGAGACGCCACCCACGTCTTTAGGCATCTCGCCTCTCTGCATCTTCGTATTTCAAGCCATTAGCCCAGTGACCCCCGACTTCATCAGTTTAAAGCCCAGGTATCGTCGGCTTTACTTGTGGTTTGAACATCCCTTCCGAGCTGCAAATTTCATAATTTAGCTTTCTTGTTTATACATAGCCCCTCTCTGTAGTTCTCCTACCCTCACGAAATCATGTCGACTGCAGACTTACCCCAGTATTATCCAAACAATTTGATACCGCTAGACATAAATAAGGTGACCCTCAAAAGCGCACTCAAGGAGCTGCAAGTTGCAGTGAACCGTGGTGCAACATTGCTACAGGAAGCCTGCCCTCCTCAAAGCGAATGGGGCAAAACCTACAACACGGGTTTATACGTGGGATTTCCAGGTATGCGTACAGCTTTCACTCTATGAATCGGTTGAGTGATACGCTACATCACGCACTTTGGCAAGTCTAATTTGATCACCTTTCCCCTCACAGGGATTGCTCTTGCTTTCCTCCGACTGGACCATCAGGTCAGAGCGTTCAGTAACAAGGAAGTCGGGCTTCCTCTTGACTTCCGCAGGCTTGCGAGCGAGCAGATTATACCACATGGACCGGATTTTCCACTTTTGCCTGAAAGAGTAGCGCCTTTTGGCTCCTCTAGTGTGCTTGTGGGACCCTTGATGCGGATTCTCGCAGCCGCCCAATCTGGTGCATCTATGTCTGAAGCTGATATTGAATGTCTCAGAAGTGTCGTACAAGTGGCCATCGGAAATGACCACATGCTACCGCATGGGGATGGGATGATGGGTACGGACGAAGTCTTGTATGGCCGAGCGGGTCTATTGTGGGCTGTATTAAGCGTGCGAGCTCACAAGTATGACGAGGGGGCCACAGGCCTTCTGACGTCCATCTTTGAGTCTGTTCCGGATCTTGTTGATGCGATCATCAAAGGTGGGCTCCAAGGCAGAGACGACTATGTAGAGGAGTATGGGGAGAGGGGTGCTTTGCCGTTGATGTGGCACTGGCATGAAGATCGGTATGGATTAGGAGCGTAAGTAATGCCCCCACCATCAGTATGTATGTTGAGCAACAGAACGGCAATCCTGACATATTTGACTAGGGTACATGGAATGTGTAAGTTACACTTGTGTAAGAAGATTCACATGATATATGCCGCTGACAAGCTTTTGTAGCCGGCATACTCGCGGCCCTCCTTGCCTGCGATCCTGAAGAGCTCAACGATGGCGCTTCGCGTAACTATTTGCCCCTGATAGCGGAGACCATCACAGGCCTTTGCAAGTTATGCATTGCCCATAATGGTCACCTCCCAACAAATCTTCCCAATCGTGGCCCTTCATCCAAGCGCTCCTCACCTCTCGTCCAGATTTGTCATGGTAGTCCCGGCATCTTAGCCCTGATGGCGAGCGCCAGACGGAACAAGCCCCTGATCACCGGCTTCTGGCAGCCAGAATGGGATGTAGCAATTCGCCTGGCAAGCGAACGAGTCTGGGAGGAAGGACTACTTTCTAAAGGTGGCGGAATCTGTCATGGCATTACAGGTAATGCATGGCCACTGTTGCTTCTTCACGACAGCTTCGAGTATGATAAGGAAGAGATGCAGGCTGCCAGGGAAAGATATATGGAGAGGGAACAGATCACTAGCGCAACAGTATTGGATACCGGGCTCACAGGTGACTACTTCCTGTCGAGAGCGCTGGCGCTGATGTTGCATGCGCGGGAGACGCCTCCGTACCATAGCTCCGACACGCCAACGTCCAACATCTATCGACTGCCCGATCGCCCGTTTTCCCTTATGGAGGGCCTGGCAGGCATTGTCTGCGCGTGGTCGGACACATGTGTGTCTGTCCAGATGAGACTGCAAAGTATGCTTCTGCGGGAGAAGTGGCCGCACAGTTCTGCATCTCTGAAGACGGACCCAACATTCCAAGAACTTGAAAGTCTGCGATTGGGAATCCCAACGCTTGCCTATCACAGGGCTGCGGCTTTGCCCTGAGGTGGAAATATGAGAAGCTTATTTATTGGTTCAACTAATGAAGGAAACTGTAACGACAGCAATGTATGCATGGAAACTCCTGCATGTAAATCGCTCAAGCATAAGGATATCTCGCTTCAAATATTCAGAATAGGAAAACATGATGCTATGCGACTCCAAACTCCACGCTCATGGCTGAACTCCAGTCGCTGATAAACGAAAGTAATATCGTAAAACGATCAAAACCCATTTCATGTCTTACACGGTTTAGAAGAGCGTGAAACCCGTGCGATACATGGGTGGTTGACCCGGAAACTCAGTCCTATACTCCACACGCTTAGGCAAGTAATTCCCATTTGGAGCTTCCACAGCAACTCTCCATCTCCGCCAGCAGTTTGAAAGCTGGTGATTTCTATCTCCACAGAAGGTACAGCGCATCTGCACCGGTCGTTGAACAGGTCCGCCCTGCATTGGTTGACTGTAACTTCGATTCCTTGTAGCCTGCTCCCGTTCTCGACGCATCTGTTCGACCACGTAATCGTTGATTTCCTCCTGACTGGGCCGCTTAGCATGTCTCCGGACACTTCCACTGCGACTATGGAGCGCCTCATCCTTGTTCATCTGTTTGACAACGAATGCGTTGATCTCATCCTGAGTGAGAGCACGAGGATCTTCCGGCATCTCCGACGACGATACAATTCCCCTCTTGGCAGCACCATGATCATCACTCCATGCACTCCTTCCCCGCCGCTGACGGGCTTTCTCTTGCTCCATGGCCAATTGGGCCAGCTCTTGAAAGGTCACCTGCTCCGCAGGATTGGAGGAACACATCCGACCGTCTCGCAGCATGGCAGATGCCCAGTCACTCCAATCAGGGCATTCCTTGAGCTTTGTCAGAAAGAGCGTATTGATCTGCGAATCGGGTATATAGGAATCTTCGTCGATTTGCGTAAGCCCTTCGCGGATTGCCTGGATGAGAGCGACGAAATCGGCGATCATGTCGGACTTTTGAGGGTCGAGGTCGAGGACCTCGCTGACTTGGTGTATCCTGCGTATGTTTCGCTGCCATGGCTCCATCTTGGCCTATGAAGCAAAAGGTTTGAGAGGATGAAGTTGGCAAGAGGAAGGCCTGTACGTACCAGTTTAAGCGCCGTGAGCCAGTGGTTTTATTTGTCGGCGATGGTTTGCTGACCGAGCGGGGGATGACGTCAGAAAGAGGGCCGTACTTCTTGCTGTATCCATACGATAACAGTATCTATTCCTATCGTTGCTGCTGTTCTCTCAGTTTTCTCCGGCTTTTTGCTCTTCTTTATGGTTGAGGTACTACATTTCATATTTCACAGTAGGAAATCACTATCTACTGCAAATTAGAGTATGGGGTTCTTTGGCTCTATGGATCCTTCGGGCCTTCCCTCGCCCCATCGTGAACCGTGGCAGTGCCCGACGCCCATCAGCAAGTCAGCAGCAGCTCTTTGGGGGCCGCTTTCTCTTAGCTTCATTTGCTTAGCGGCGTGTGACAATCAGTCCAGATAAACGTCCAACCCATTCTTTCTCTCAATCCACTGCAACAGGCTGTCCTTGCACATACGGCTAGCCTGATCTAGGACAAGGCTTAAAGACCCCCATCACCCGGGTGGAGAGAAGTCGCATCACGTACAACTGTGACAATGGATACTGTGCCACCATCCTACCAAACAGCTACCACCAGAGATGCTTGGTCGATTATAGCGCACTACATCCCTTCAAGCGACTTATGTGCAGCTGTCTTGGTATGTCGGAAATGGCATGGTCTCTTTATGCCCTTTCTGTGGGGAGATCCCGCTTCCCACTTTGGAACGGATAACGATGCGGTTTATGGTAGGCCTGAACGATCCCACGACTGCTTGATTTGATCGTTTGGTGCTGACAACATGCACTAGTCGCTCTTACAAGGTTCAGGAGGACACTAAAATATGCCCGTCTTAAGGTGCGGATGCTCACCCATACGCTGCACCTGCCGCCTGCTCTCTCGGAGATCTATGGTGGTCCACGACCCGAATGGTTAAAGGAGATTCTGGATGCTCTACCGTGCCTCCAGTCGTTGATGGTCTCGAAGCTCCCCTTTTTTGACCACAATGCTATGACTGCCTTGAGCAGATCTAGCCCATTTGGAGAAACCGACACAGCTTCCCAGACTTACAATGTCCGTCTGCTATTGGCGGATAGTGAGCCAAATGCGACATCACACGGCATTGCGGAGACCTTACTACGCTTCCCTGAATTGATCTATCTCGATTTGTCCTACACCACCCCTGCGCGGGACCGCATGGTTCTGTCGTCGCTATCGCAGTTGGAAAATCTCCAGGTGCTCAAGCTTCGAGGGATCGGTTTGAAGGACAATGATGCAGAATTTTTGGCCAATGCCATCGGACGCAGAGTTCGATTCCTGGACCTGCGCAACAATCTACTTACTGATATGTCTATACGGTCTTTATTGCAAGCATGTTTCCTACCCCCTGGCGCTGAGGATAGATTACAACGAGCGACATTAGCGTCACTGGGATCCCTTGCACACTCTCCGCAATCGAGACCACTGCTGGCTGACAGAAGACTTCTCAGGACCCCGCTTCTAGATGAACAAATCCTGAAAGCTTTGACACAATCGTTGACTGGCCGCTCCTGGGTTGAGGACTTATCCCATGCAGGCATAACGCACCTCTATATCGCCGAGAATCCCATTTCTGTAGAAGGGGCCGCAAGTCTTTTGTTCTCCTCTCGCCTGCACGCGCTAGATGTGGGAACCGTTGATACTATAGAGTCTATCGGACGAAGCCAGAACTCCCTGGCTTCGCCCCAAGAGGACACCCACAAGCTTCCTGGTGCCGAAAAACTAATTCCAATTCTGGGTTCTGTTGCCAAGGGAAACCTTACCTATCTTCGAGCTCACCATGCCGTCTGTACAGTTGATGCACCGTCAAGGGAGACCTCAACGGCGGACATGTTGCTGCCAGAGCTCCCAGCTGAAACTGAGAGTGAAGTGCGTCTAGTGGCAGAGTTAGGTACAAATCATGAGATTTATGAACTACCCTCAAATGAAGCACCGATTTTCGAGCTTCCTGGCTCACCAGTCCCACAATCTCCGGACTGGCCTACGCAGCCCGCCGGGAGGGGTCGAAAGCCAAATGTTTATGAAGACGAGCCACTACCTGACCTGCGACGAGGCTCTGTTTTCGCTCCTGAGGTGATCGGGGCAGACCAAGTTAGTGATGAAGAGCCTTCGAGCAGTACCTCTGCCGCGAGGCCTTCAACTCGCCTGCCCCATGACATCTCCTTCTCTAGTATTTCCAGTATCTCGGTGGGTGCAGCGGGGTCTATCCCGCAATGTTCTTCGCCTCTTTCAGTCGAAGATCCTCGGGCCCAGAAAATTCAGGAATTGCTTGCTAAGCGGCCAAAAAGTCTTCCTCGTCGTGATAACAAAAGATGCTATTTCCCGTACTTGCATCCTTCCCATGTCCCTCACCTTGAAACATTGGTTTTGACCGACGTTCCATCTCACGTACAGGCGAACTCGCCAATCTTGGAATCGCTGATTCGATTCATAACTGCATGCTCAAATGAAGCGTTGCTTGCAACGCTCCAAGCGGGATCGGATTATTCACTCGCACCTGGAAGAGCTCGGGCCAGATCTGAACAAGAACGTGCTAGGTCTTTATTTGGTCTACGTCGCTTGGTGCTTGAGATCACGCCCTCTGTTGAATCCAACAAATTATCTAGATGGACGCCAGCCAGTCACCGAATAGGAGCTTCTAAATCAAGTACCGGTGATCGCGATTCGGAGAAGCTATGGTCAGCAGCAGAAGGCGACTTTAGTTTCTTTGGAGGAGAGGAATGCGGAGTGCCCGATGTTTATTCAGGGAAATATTTCCCTATGGCAGCCTTGAACGAGAAGGTGACGTTGATCCCAGAAGATGACGATGTCAACCCTTTACAGTCAGACATGGCTTCTTCACCAAACATGCTTCATCCGGATCCTTTGCGCTCGCGGTCAAACTCAGTCGATCCCGCGACTACGCCTCTGAACATGCGCTCGCACAGCCCACTCCAGGGTGAGGGTAGAGACATGGGGCCGCCAAATGAAGTACCAGACGTTGACCTGGTTGCCGAATTGGCAGCATTCCGACGTAGTAAAAAGGCAGAATACGAGGATATGCTGAGAAGAGACCGGAGAAGGCGTGGTACTGCCAGCACCCTGTCATCTCGCTTCTCTCCTTCTGTCTCCTCATTCCAAACGATTTCTCCGTCATCGAGTATAAATACGTTGGCGGCGGCATCAGCGCCTCATTCACCCATTGCTCATTATCTTGAAGGACACTGGAAGGGGGAAGTGAAGATTGTCCGAAACCCAGCGCCAAAGGGCCGAAGCGGGGTAGTGGATATGTATGGGAATTATTTTGAGAAGGGCTATCTGTACCCTTGACGGAGGGTATTCATTATATTGTAAAGCATATATGCTGTTCGTGACATTAGCTAGTTGATATAGATTGCGAACATGATACCCAGTATATACTACACTACTTGATATCATATTACGTCGCACTACTTACTAGGTGAACACTACTAAGGGCTGAAGCAGTATGAACTTGCCTGAAATTCTGATAACAGATCAATGATGTACATCAATATCCGATTACCAGCTCGACACCAACCCTCCATACAGTATCCATCGGATGAATGTCACTCTTGATACTTTACTTAACCAAGATAAGTTGCTTAGAAAATTTCGTTGTTCGTTTTAAAAATTGGTATAGAATTTCATCTTTCACACACGACTCCGCGCATATTCATTTCAACCCCGAAACTGAAACCCGTTCATTTCCATTTAAGAATTCCGCATAAAGTAGTAAAGAAGTTCTGGTTTTTTTTTCAGACAACATAAAGAAAAATAATAAGAAGCAACAGTTAAGGCCCCTAAACTAATTCCATTTTTCTTTTATCTCTTTTGAAATCGTTGTCATTCCTTCCTTACATAGCCTTGGCGGCCTGAGGGGGGTTCAGCTTCTTGCCATCCTTGTTGTACCTGATACGAGGAGGGGGAGCACGGTTGCGACGACCTTCCCGGGAGCGGACACTATAGGATAATTATTAGCTTGTGTTTGTTCTCGAAATCGATGATGATTCGACGCATTCATCGTTGTTTGAGTGGGTGGTGGCGTACCGAACAATCTTGCCGTGGATAGCGCAGGAGACGCAGTACTGCAGCTTCAGGTACATCTTGGGGACGGCGTAGTCGGTGAAGACGGAGGCGTCCGAGATATCACCTGTAGAGTTGAAAAAAGAACCAGTCAGTCCGATGTTGTCTTTCAGGATGGGTCGAATTCCGTTCACTCGTGCGTCGCGCTGTTGTATCTATTCCTCTTTCTTCTTATCCGATGTCGTATTCCGGTCGAGTTCATTTCGCTTCGAATTGTTGCATACACACGCATACATAAAACACCCCACTTCCCAGCTCTTTCGGAATGAACAAACAGCGCGCGCGGACGGTTTCGGGAAGAACTCATATCAATGGAGCAAGATCGTGGAACGTACGAATGGCAGCGGACTCGACCATGTTGCGGATGGTGAATCTCTTGATGGCCTTGTCCTTGGGAGTGCAGCGAGCGCAGTTGGAGCAGCGCACGGGCTTGACGTGGCCGCGGCCGTTCTTGTTACGACCGCTGTGAAATAGGTTAGTTTATCGGTCTCTTCTTTAATTTTGCGAATTTTCCATGTTTTCGATTTGAACATCGCCATTTCTTCAATTTTCTTCTGTTTTTTCCCCAAAATCACACAACACTGTACGGTAGCCGGGCCATTCTGCGGCAAATGTATGGCGAATATTTTTCCGTGCGGCCGTCTTCATTCAGGTGTGCGTAGATTGTGTATATGTATATATGGCATGTGGCATGGCATGGATGGGTGGGATAGGAAAGGGTTCGGTCTTACTTGTTCGCCCTCTTCTTGACCATCTTGACGGATTTCTCTGCAGCAACGGGTCAGAGAATGTAAGTCAGGGAGAAGGGGAAGGGAGGTTGTCGCGTACTTGGCTGTCGGGTTTGGTTGTCGTAAAGGCTCCGGAGTCGTCTCTTCGGGATGAGGTTGTGTCGGGTTTGTGTGGTAGCCCTATGCCCTTAAGCGAGCTGGGTCACGGGATGAGTGGCCTCAGGCGGTTAATGGGAGATTTTGACACCTGAGGCATAAGCGGAGGGGTGACATCGGGAGAGTGGCGGAGGGTGGCCTGACCGCCCCTGCCTCAGGCAATCGGCGAGAAACTTTGAAAAAGTTGGGTGATCCGACTGAGTTCACGTGCCTGGTCCCGAAGCAGCCTAGCGCACAAGGCCCTTCCCGACCCAAAGTTACGGTACACCAATACGGTATTCTGTTTACTCAGGCCGAGTATTGTGAGTGGTCCCCGTGCCATCCCTCTTTCTCCCTGAAACTGTCATTAACAGCAAATAGTTCGGCCAGCCGAATCCACTTGGGATCTGCTTCTTCCTTTCCCCCCCCTGGGTTTGGCTTGGTGGCTGTTGGCTTGTCTGCCGTATCTTTCTCGTCCCTCCAGATCATCGCGTTGTGTCTCGCTCTCCCTCTTTTTACTCTTCCTTCTTCTTCCTCTTCAGTCTGTCTTCCTTGCGTGACTTGTCTCTGGTTCATTCCCACTCCTCAATCCTCGTTCGTCCTTTCACGGGGGGTTGTGTCTCCATTCCACCGCTCCGCTGCATTCTCCGCTCTCTCTTGACCGGTTCGTGAGACACAGACCTGCCAGCCTACCACAGGTCCGCCATTCCGGTTCGGCGCCATGTCATCCACACCCACTTTTAAGGGAACCATTAGCCACAAGACTGTCGGTAGAGGCAGGCTGCCCGACTTTGACAGTCACATTCCACGTCCTCGCCCAGAGACTTCCTCTACAACTCATACCCCCCAGACCGCGTCCAGCGACATTGGCAGTTCCACCATGAGTGCCGCCAGCAGCCGTCAGAGGCAAAACCAGTCCAAGCGCGATGAGGTATGGCACGCTTTTCCCCCTTTGGATTGTTTGCAACAACCCCGGAAGAAAAGGAGGTGAACCTTGAAAAATCTTGCCATGCAAGCCGTTTCTCGTTTTTTGAAAATTTGATTGCTCAATGCCTCCCATTGACTTTTTCTAACTCTCATGGACTTAGGCTATCCGGCGAAAATTGGAGGCCGACCTCAACAAGAAGAGACATGCTCCGGCACGGGCAAACCGCTCCCGCAAAGCTCCCCCCGGCACCGTCCTCGCATTGAAACCTAGTCAAGCCCTTCAGATCAAGCCGAACACCTCCATCGCCGAAGCCGCCCAGTTGATGGCCGCGAAGAGAGAAGACTGCGTGCTTGTAACTGACGATGATGACCGGATTGCTGGTATCTTCACTGCTAAGGACCTCGCGTTCCGCGTGGTCGGCACTGGCCTGAAGGCGCGAGAAATCACCGTGTCTGAGATTATGACCAAGAACCCTCTGTGCGCGAGAACGGATACCAGTGCCACCGATGCTCTCGATCTCATGGTTCGGAAAGGATTCAGACACTTGCCGGTTATGGACGAGAACCAGGATATCTCGGGTGTTCTTGATATTACGAAGTGCTTCTACGATGCGATGGAGAAGTTGGAACGTGCATACAGTTCGTCGCGCAAGCTCTACGATGCATTGGAGGGTGTGCAGACGGAACTTGGCTCCAGTCAGCCCCAGCAGATCATCCAGTACGTGGAAGCGCTACGACACAAGATGTCCGGCCCTACGCTGGAGACCGTCTTGGACGGTATGCCCCCGACCACGGTCTCCGTCCGCACCACTGTCAAAGATGCGGCAGCTCTGATGAGGGAACACCACACCACTGCTTTGCTCGTACAGGATCAGGGCTCCATCACGGGTATCTTCACCAGCAAGGACATTGTTCTGCGTGTCATTGCTCCCGGTCTTGACCCGTCTACCTGCAGCGTCGTCCGTGTGATGACCCCTCACCCCGATTTCGCCCCCAGCGACATGAGTATCCAGGCTGCGCTCCGGAAGATGCACGGTCAGTCACTCCGTCAACCCCTGCAGCGCTCGAGAGGAAACTAACACTGGAGATATATAGATGGACATTACCTCAACCTGCCCGTCATGAACGATGCGGGCGAGATTGTGGGAATGGTGGATGTGCTGAAGCTTACGTACGCCACCTTAGAACAGGTTAGTAACAGCATATCAATAGGAGAGGGCCATTCGTCTAACAGGCAAGCAGATCAACACCATGCAGTCACATGATGATGAGGGCCCGGCCTGGAACAAGTTTTGGCTGTCGATGGATCACGAGTCCGATTCCATGGTCTCGGGAAGCCAGCAGCCCGCGCAGCGGTCAGTACTCAGCCCTGAGTCTCCGAAGGCTAGTTATGACGCCCGAGACAGCGTTCTCCCCAACGAATCTGCTTCTCACCATGGCGGTGACGAGCACTCTGAATACCACGTTGACCCGCACCACGGAGAGCACATCCCCTTCCCGTTCAAGTTCAAGGCTCCTAGCGGCCGTGTGCACCGTGTTAACGTGTTCCCCTCTGCTGGCATTGCTGAGCTGGTTGCTCAGGTGTCGGCCAAGCTGGGCCCCGAGGCGGAGGCCGTGGGAGGCGTTCCCAGCTGCGACGAGGGCAAGTTGAGCAACACGGGCTACGCTCTGAGCTACCTGGACAACGAGGGCGACACCGTGTCGATCACCACCGACCAAGATCTGGCAGATGCTGTCAGCCTTGCCCGTCAATCGCACCGTGATAAGGTCGATCTCTTCGTCCACGATCCTACGCAGCCTCCTATTCCTGCTACCGTTGAACCCCAGCCGGCACCAGCCCGCCCCGTCGAGGAGAAGAGTGCCATTTCCGAAGACCGGTCGGAGGAAGAGTCCCTGGTGGCCAAGCCCCGGGCTCCGTCCTTCCCCGTGCACCAGCCCGAAGAGCAGTTCATCGCCGGAGTGCCCAACGACCTGCTGCTTCCGGGTGCAATTGTGACCTTGGCGGCCGTCATTGCGGGAGTGTTCATTCTGAGCCGGGCCACTTCCCGGTAAAAGAAGTGTGTGCATCTACCTGGCCGTGATGAAAGAAAGCAAGTACCCTTGTATCTATTTCCTTTTCGACGTCTCCTTTCGCGTGTCATATATCTGTAACCCCAAGAGCGTTTCGTTTGTGTGACTAGTTTCCATTATGCATTGGTCAATCTCCTTCCCTACATGTGGTGGTGGCCCAGTCCTAATTGAGCCTGTTTTATTCTGTTTCGGATACCGTTGAGTTCGTGAGAGCGTAAGGTTACATACAAATAGCATGTTCTGCTCCCATTCGGGAAGCGTATTAGACCACCCACCAGTACAGGACCATCGTCATGGTCAATATCATGAGAGACGAGATAGCATTTTTACAGGATAAACATAATAGTCTCCGGTATAGCCAAGGGACGTTCCTGGATGATTTACCGAATCCTGCAAGAGGGGTTGACTGCCTGGCTGCCTGAAGGGCTTGCCGGAAAGAGACTAGCGCGGCGGCCTTGGGGGGAAATTTTGGGATCTTGGGAAATTCTGATTGGGGCGTCGAGAGCAGAAAGCCGTGAATATTACTTACAACCTAGTCTATTATTGCAGTCACTTTTGACCTCTTCCCTCCTTCACCATCAAACTTCCAGGCTCTCTTTCTCTCACTATCTTCTAAGCCTCGCGCTATTCACGGGCCCTCTTCTTCCTCTGGCCCCCCTCCCCTCCTGTTCACCCGCAGCTCTCTGTCCGGCTGCGATGCTGAGCTGGGATTTTACCCGCGTTGGTACATATTATTGATTGATCGATCTTCACTCTACTCTACTTTTTTTTTCTTCCCTTTATTTTTTTTTTCCTGGCCGGGTTGCCCGTTGATTGATTGACCTGTCTGGTTGCTTGGTGCCCATACCGCCCTCCCTCTTCCCCCTCGACTGGTCAACTTATTTCTTCCCCCACCAAAACAATTTCTCCTCCAAAGGGCCAAAAAAAAGTCCCTTTCAAGTCAAACCACCACCCCCACCTCCACCACCTGGGTTCACCGCTGGACCCCGTGTCTCCTAATTTCCCGCGCTCTTGGTGGTTTTCAGCTCGGGTTGATTGTTCACACTTGAGCTGTCAAAATGTCGCTACTTCCCCCCGAGGTCCACTCGGCGCTCTCGCAGCTCCTGCGCGCGCTGTCCACCCCCGACAACACCATTCGTGCTCAGGCGGAGGAACAGCTGAACAATGATTGGATTCAAGGCCGTCCCGATGTCCTGCTGATGGGCCTGGCAGAGCAGATCCAGGGTGCGGAGGATGTGCTAGTAAGTGCCCTGCTTGGCTTTCCCTCGGTGGGCCCTTGGAGGACGTTGGTCCAAGACATTCGAGTCAAAGATCAGCACCCCAGACCATAACAAGCGTTATCTTTTATCCCTCCGGACTAGTGGCAGATCAAGGAATCAATGCAAAAGTTGGTTCGCGTTCAGGTTGCTCATTGTTGCATCTCACCCAGACACGTTCTTTCTCCGCCGTTCTCTTCAGAAGAATCGCGACCAAGACACGAAAAGACCCCGTCACAAATGAGGCCAAGGAGCTCTTTTCGACCCTCACTGGCGAGCAGAGGTTGATCATCCGTCAGAAGCTCGTGACGTGCTTGACCAGCGAGTCCGTCACAGATACCCGCAAGAAGATCGGCGACGCCGTGGCCGAGATTGCCAGACAGTACACCGATAATGGTAGGCACCGTGAAGGACCTTGATACGTGCTGGATCTTTTCCAATCTGATATATGTGGCTTAGGCGACCAATGGCCCGAACTGCTCGGCGTTCTCTTCCAGGCCAGCCAGTCCCCCGACTCCGGCCTGCGTGAGGCCGCTTTCCGCATCTTCAACACTACTCCCGGTATCATCGAGAAGCCCCACGAGGAGGCCGTTGTCGGTGTGTTCAGCAAGGGTTTCAAGGATGACGTCGTCTCAGTATGTCAACGCAGCCATCCCCCGGGCTTGAGGCCCCCAGCCGTATGCTGATTGCCGTGTGTACAGGTGCGCATTGCCGCCATGGAGGCCTTCGCTTCGTTCTTCCGCTCGATCGCCAAGAAGTCCCAGCCCAAGTTCTTCTCCCTCATGCCCGATCTGCTCAACATTTTGCCTCCGTTGAAGGAGTCGTCGGAGAGCGAGGAGCTCTCCTCCGCCTTCTTGTCTCTGATCGAGTTGGCCGAGATCTGCCCCAAGATGTTCAAGACCATGTTCAACAACCTGGTTACGTTCAGTATCAGCGTGATTGCCGACAAGGACCTCAGTGACCAGGTCCGCCAGAACGCTCTCGAGTTGATGGCTACGTTCGCCGACTATGCGCCCTCGATGTGCAAGAAGAACTCCGAGTTCGCTCAGCAGATGGTGACCCAGTGTCTGAGCTTGATGACGGATATTGGTGTTGATGATGAAGATGCTTCTGAGTGGAATGCTTCGGAGGATGTACGTTCCGTTCTATAATCTTGCAGGGTTATTGTTGTGCTGACGTGTTACAGCTCGACTTGGAAGAAAGCGATCTCAACCACGTTGCGGGTGAACAGTGCATGGACCGTCTGGCCAACAAGCTTGGCGGCCAGATCATCCTCCCCGCGACCTTTGCCTGGATCCCTCGCATGATGTCCTCTTCTGCCTGGCGCGATCGCCATGCGGCTCTCATGGCCATCTCCGCCATCTCGGAAGGCTGCCGCGACCTGATGGTCGGCGAATTGGACCAGGTGTTGCGACTGGTCGTTCCCGCTCTTCAGGACCCCCACCCGCGCGTCCGCTATGCGGGCTGCAACGCTCTGGGCCAGATGAGCACCGATTTCGCCGGTACCATGCAGGAGAAGTACCACGCCGTGGTGCTGACCAACATTATCCCCGTGCTGAACAGCACCGAGCCCCGTGTCCAGGCGCACGCGGCCGCGGCCCTGGTCAACTTCTGCGAGGAGGCCGAGAGGAAGGTGCTGGAACCGTACCTTGCTGATCTTCTGCAGCACCTGCTGCTGTTGCTGCGCAGCAGCAAGCGCTACGTGCAGGAGCAGGCCCTTTCGACCATCGCCACCATCGCCGACTCGGCTGAGAATGCCTTCGAGCAGTACTACGACACCCTGATGCCTTTGTTGTTCAACGTCTTGAAGGAGGAGCAGTCCAAGGAATACCGCCTGCTTCGCGCCAAGGCGATGGAGTGCGCCACGCTGATCGCTTTGGCTGTCGGCAAGGAGAAGATGGGCCAGGACGCGCTGAACCTGGTGCAGCTTCTGGGTAACATTCAAAAGAACATCGTCGACGCGGACGACCCGCAATCGCAGTACCTTCTCCACTGCTGGGGCCGCATGTGCCGGGTCCTGGGCCAGGACTTTGTCCCTTACCTCCCTGGTGTCATGCCGCCTTTGTTGACGGTTGCTGCTGCCAAGGCTGACATTCAGCTCCTCGACGACGAGGACCAGATCGACCAGGTCGAGCAGGACGAGGGCTGGGAGCTGGTGCCTCTGAAGGGCAAGATCATCGGTATCAAGACCAGCGCACTGGAGGACAAGAACACCGCCATTGAGCTCATCACAATCTACGCGCAGATCCTGGAGGCTGCGTTCGAGCCCTATGTTCTGGAGACGATGGAGAAGATTGCCGTCCCCGGACTTGCATTCTTCTTCCACGACCCCGTGCGGGTGTCGTCTGCTAAGCTGATTCCCCAGCTCCTGAACTCTTACAAGAAGGCGCACGGCGACCAGTCAGCTGGATTTGCCGGCATCTGGAGCAAGGTGGCGGAGAAGATCATTGAAGTGCTCAGCGCCGAGCCCACGGTCGACACGCTGGCGGAGATGTACCAGTGCTTCTACGAGTCGGTGGAAGTGGTGGGCCAGAGCTGCCTGACCCAGCAGCACATGCAGGCGTTCATTGAGTCGGCCAAGTCGACGCTGGAGGACTACCAGGTCCGCGTGAAGGCGCGTCTTGAGGACCGTGCGGAGGCGGATGATGGCGAGGAGGACAACCTCGACTACGAATACGCGATTGAGGACGACCAGAACCTTCTCAGTGACATGAACAAGGCTTTCCACTCCATCTTCAAGAACCAGGGCACAACGTTCCTGCCGGCGTGGGAGCAGCTGATGGCCTTCTACGATGCATTCATCACCAGCGAGGACCCGACACAACGGCAATGGGCGCTGTGCATCATGGATGATGTGCTTGAGTTCTGCGGGCCCGAGTCGTGGAACTACAAGGACCACATCATGCAGCCCCTGGCAGCCGGTCTGCAGGACCCTAATGCGGCCAACCGCCAGGCTGCGGCGTACGGTGTGGGCGTTGCTGCCCAGAAGGGCGGTGCCGCGTGGGCCGACTTTGTGGCGGCCAGCATCCCCAGCCTATTCCAGGTGACGCAGATCAACCAGGCACGCAGCGAGGAGCACGTGTTCGCGACGGAGAACGCATCGGCCAGTATCGCCAAGATCCTGCACTACAACGCCAGCAAGGTGCAGAACGCCCAGGAGATTGTGGCCAACTGGATCGGCACGCTCCCGATCACATTCGACGAGGAGGCTGCTCCCTACGCCTACTCCTTCCTTGCGCAACTCATTGACCAGTAAGACCCCCCAAGTTGCTGAATAGTATATAGGAATCATACTGACTGATTTGCAATAGACAAAACCCCGTGGTGATGTCCAGCGCCGACAAGGTGTTCGGACACATTGTGCAGGCACTGGAAGCGGAGACGCTGCAGGGCCAGACAGCCGGCCGGGTGGCCAACTCGGCGAAGCAGCTGGTGGCCGCCACAGGGCTGAACGCCGAGCAGATCCTGGCGGGTGTCAACCCGGACAACCAGGCTGCGGTGCGCAGCTACTTCCAGTGAGTCTGCCATGCGATGATATGATATAAACCAGTTGGGGACGGGGTTCGGTTTGGGAAATGTTCATATGCCATGAGTTGAAATGAGAATTGCAATGCGATAAGGACAACAACATCAACCACCATCAATAAGGATATGGGATTTATTTATTTATTTTTCGACAGTTATTTTTATATTCCTTCTATTGTTATGCTTTTATTGTTAAAGGTGTATAGCGGTTTCATGAGAAGAAGACAAGACAAAGACGTGACGTAGTCGGGAGCCATAATAAGCCGAATACATACATACTACTACATATACCACATATCTTCCACTCCCAATCAATCCTATACTATAGACATAAGAGACAGAGAGAAGAAATACAGGGAAAAGAGAGATCAAGCAACCGTCTCCAAAATCTCCAACACCTGCCCCTTCTCCTGCAGCGGCACCACATTCGCCTGACACCACCGATCATGCAGACTATGTTCCGCCAGCGCATCGAACTGATCCCGCCCCACCCCGACCGCCTGCAACGACCGCGGCAGCCCTAACTCTCGAATGACCGCGTCCAGCACATCCCCGAGGTCAACTGCTGCGTCTGCGTAATATTTACGCACTACCCCCGCCACACCCTCCTGCCGGAGCAGGAAGTCGCGGAGTTTGGTCTGTCGGGGAAACACATCGCTGTTGCTGCTGCTGTGCTTGGCGTTGTATTTGCATACGGCGGGGAGGAGAATACAGCTTGTTTCGCCGTGGGGCACGCCGAAGGGGCCGAGCTATGCATTATCAATCGCATGTAGTTTAGTATATATATACACACATCTTTGTGGTATATGAAAGAGTGAGAGAAGGGAATACTAACCTGATGCCCAATCCCATGACTCGCCCCCAAAGGCAACCCCGCCGAACAAGCAGCCATAGCATCCACACTGCCCAAAGCACAATCCAATCGCGCTGCTTTCCCTCCATCACCATCTGCATCTATCCCATCTTTATTGTTTAATCTACACTTCACCAACCCAGGAACCAACAACCCCAACGCATGCAACGCCAATCGATCTGTCTCCTCCGTAACCCCATCTTTACTTCCCACCCCGGAGGACAGATACGTCTCGACGCAATGATCCACCGCGCGAATCCCCGTCCCTAACCAGATCCGTTCGGGAGTGGTGGCAGTCAGCTCGGGGTCAAGTATCACCAGCTGCGGGCCGCGGATCGGTGCCCCGAAGGAGTATTTTCGACGTGAAGTGTCGTGCGTGGCGCCCGCGAAGGAGGAGTACTCGCCTGCGGAGAGGGAGGTAGGGATGGAGATGATGGGGATGGAGGGGGGTTTGATGGGCGGGTTCGGAGTGGGTGGTTCGCTTGTTAAGGTAAGGAGGGTGGATGGGGTGGTGGTGTTGTTGGATATCGCCTTTAATTATTAGAATTTATTATCAGTATGGGTATTAGATAATGAGAAAGATAAAAGGGAAGGGTATTTTACCAACGCAACCACCTTCGCGGCATCAGTTAGACTCCCCCCGCCCAAAGTAATCAGGAGATCTGCTTCCACCGCTTGGGCGTTGCGGACTACTTCTAGCACTTCGGACCACAGCGTGTGGCTTTGCATGCCGATGCGGGTTCCTGCGATTTTGTCTGGTCCCAGGGCCCGGGTGAGACGGTCGAGGGCGTCGGTGTTGTGGGCGAGGGAGGCGGAGCAGAGGATGTAGATTTTGGAGGCGTGGAAGAGGTCGGTGATGTGGTGGGCTGCGGCGGAGGGGAAGGGGATGCCGTAAGAGAGGAGAGGCCGCGGTCGGTCGGCGAAGGCTGGACGGAGGGTTTCTGTCATGTTGAGATGATGGTGATGATGTTGCTGATGATGGGGAGTGTATGTATGTATATGGGAGGTTTGAGACGAAGGGAAAGAATTGAAAGGGACAAATGTGACTCTTATATACACTCTGTCAGGAGGATTGGATGTGGGATCTGCCTGTCAGCAGACTGCGAGTGCCCCAAGCAAGGGTGATGTACTCTTGAAGTAGCTGCGATGTATATTCCAAAGAGACCCGCGATGTGGGAGGTGGGGCCCGGCGGGGCGGAGCGGAGGTGATGTCATTCAGGAATTCATGCAGTTACAAAGTATGTAGTAGTCAGTTATTGGTTTCCAACTTGCTTCATGATTCAAGTTCAAGTTCAAGCTCAGTCATTCACTACGACAGCCCAACTCCCTAACGCCTCCAAAGCCAGCACGATATCCTCCCGTCCGCATTAGTACATATTAAGACATCCTTTCCATCTACCCCGTCCGCTCATCTTCGTCCACCGCCGCCCGCAATTCCCATACAATGTCGTAGCATTCCGCCAACAACGCATTCACGCTGCCCTGGCCTTCGGGGATGTCGGTGCCCACGTAGAACTTGCCGTCCACGCGCATGTTGTCAATTGAATTGAGCTATTGGATGTCGTTAGTGCCTGCCAACTCTCGTCTGCGAAATTAGCACCCACCTTCATGCTGTACGGATAGAGCTCACGCGAGTTCGATACGCCCCCTGACTCCTGCACCTCCAGCAGGCATTTCCGCAGCGTCTGCAGCTGGTTGTACACTGGCAACAGCGCCTCCGACACCGGCTCCGAGGAGATCAGCAGCGCATAGATGTACCCGTAACTACGCCGGATTAGGTACAATAATGTCTACAGCAGTCAGCGTGAACCATGAAACCCCCCGATAAAACTTACCCTCTGCGCATGAATGTCTGCTGCGTTGCCCTCCGCGTCCACAAAGTTGCCGTTCACCCGCGCCTCGTCAATCCGGTCGAGTTTGCGCTGGTAGCCAAACAGGTCTGTCTCACGGAGCGACCACGCCTGTGTCACAGCCAGACGGTCCAGCTGATTGCGAATCTCGATCAGTCGATCATATTGTTCCTTGAATCTTTCGTCGATCTTTCCTTGCCTGCAATAATATCAGCACCGAATCATATCATGGAGCCATTTATACATACCGCTCCAGCACAATCTCCGTCCAGAGCCAACACCGTTCCATCAGCAGCTTAACATCTTGCTGAGCACCGGGGAGCGGTACTCCTTCAGCATCCACGAATTGTCCATCCTTCATACCCTCTTCAATCTTCTTCAGTTGGGTCCGAAGCGTAGTGACCTCGGATGATGAAAACTACCAGTGTCAGCTTGCACGCATCCGATCGGCAAGGGTGAGCTACCTTAGAGCGCGTGTTCACGGCCGACGTTGATCGCAGAATGGAGACAAGTGTCTCATGTGTAGCCGCCAAATCCGGGCCCAGCTTGGCCAGACCACTCTGCAACTTCTCCAATAGCAGTTGGCATTTCTCCAGACGGCTCTCGAGCAGGGTGATAAGGGCGGGGGAGTAAGCTTGGCGGCATCGATCAAGAGTTTCGTTCATGTTCGCAAGGGTCTTGGTAATGGAGATCAGGTCTTTGGAGCTGTAGAAGCCGGCCTCTTCCAGGTGATCGAGTAGACGCTGAAGGGTTAGTAGGGGCTAGTGTCACAGAGACGGTCACACGTACCTGAACAGTCGTCGCAAGAGAGTATCTGTATTACAGCGACAATGATGTTAGTATAGTCCACCTCATTTCGGACGAAGGGCACATACACGGCAGGAGCTTCATTGTTGCGACCAACGGTCAGAAATAGCAGCGAAATGAGCTGGAAGCAATCGTCAAGAACATAGTCCACTAGAACATTGCACAAGTTAGCATTCTCATAGTCGCCATCATCCATACACAGGCCCACTCAGTGCTAACGTCGATTATGTGCCCGCCGGCGATCCTGTTCCTTGCGCGCGGCATTGAGCTTTTCTACCTCGGCGACCACCTCTTCATACAGAGGAAGAACATCGCGAGATTTAATGTATGAAGACTTGTCCTGCTTGAGCAGGATGAGAGCATCGCGAGTGCGCAACAGACGCTCAAGGATTGGCTGCTCTTTCGGGTCCAGCGGGGCGGGGACAGCGGGGGAGTCCATGCTGCTGAAGAGGGGGAGAGGGGAGAGGGAGAGGAGGGGGGAAAGAAGATAGGTAATGGAGGTAATGAATCGGGGACGCCGATGCGGATGAAGCGGAATTCAAAGAGATACCCGAGATGATTCTATATCAGCGACACAACAGCCAAGACAGGTAGACAGAATTCAATAAGAGATACATCCGCAATGAAGAAAGTCAACGGGCGGGAAAGCAACGTGAAGCCCATCAGGCGATGATGGCATTGCCAAGCAATATGTCCCGAAGCAGGCTAGCGCATAGTCACGGGCGAGGGGCGGTGGCACTAAGCCCAAACGGGAGCAGCCCTAAGCGAGGGCTTCTGCGGCGCTCAACACACAACTTCCGTTCAGGGCGAAGCGTTAGTCACTCACCGTCCGACTCCCCTTCTCGACCAGGCCGTTACAAAAAAGTCTCCCGTCCTTCTCTTCCTCTTTTTATCCCCATCCCTCTCGAGACTCCAGTCCAGTCCAACCCCCCCGTCGACCACCATGTCTACTGCCGAGCTCGCTTGCTCCTACGCCGCCCTCATCCTCGCCGATGACGGCATCGAGGTCACCGTACGTATTGACCCTTGATTTCAACCCGGGCATTGGAATGGCAGGCAAGGATAAGACAAAGTGCTGGGAGAGAGCAGGAAAAAAAATAAAGGGTGTCACGAGAAAGAGATGGATATGGAGGATATCAAGGATTCGGAACATGCAACAATTGCCGGGTTGAAAAATGCAAGGTTACAGGATCAAATTTGGACTAATAATGCAATTTCTTGAATATAGGCCGACAAGCTCCAGACTCTCCTGTCTGCCGCCAAGGTTCCCGAGGTTGAGCCCATCTGGACTTCCATCTTCGCCAAGGTAAATTAAATCCGTCCAAGCTTCGCAACACATCTCAGTTTCATCATCGCATGCGATTCGCGATTCACCCGATTATCAATCATCACCACCCTGGAATCAAACACACAAAACTTACACGTCGGTTTTTTCCAATAGGCTCTCGAGGGCAAGGACATCAAGGAGCTCCTGACCAACGTCGGCTCCGCTGGCCCTGCCGCCCCCGCTGCTGCTGCCGGTGGTGCTGCTGCCCCCGCTGAGGCTGCCGCCGCTGAGGAGAAGAAGGAAGAAGGTACGGAACATCCAACATACCCATTGCCTTGGCGATTGCAATGGCAGGGCATAGGAAAAGGAACACTTGGACTAACTTCTATACAGAGAAGGAGGAGTCCGACGAGGACATGGGCTTCGGTCTTTTCGACTAAGCGTCTTCAACCGTTCGGGTTTCCTAATTTTTCCTTTTCTATCTCGTTTCCTTACTACCTCCTTTTCGCCCCCTCGCATTTCTTGTACCTGATACTACGCGACCGCACGAAGACCAAAAAGGGAAAATTAAAAGAAAGAATGAACGGACAAGGACATCCGGTGGGACTGGGCGCTCTGCTCGCATGATAGGCTCCGTCGTGAAAAAGAACCAGAAGTGTGTCTCTTACGTAGTACTTTCTGGGGGGGAAACCGCGATGCCGTTGGGATTCCGGTTTTTCCTGGGGGGGCGAAGAGATTCGGCTTCGGCTCCTCTTGTGTCTCTGATGTTGTGTGTGCTTGTTGCTACTATGCTATATGGCGTGTTCTTTCGAGCTTAGGTGCCCCAGCTCTCATGCAATGTCTGTCATGCGACCATGAGCAAAACCTCGTTCCCACTGTTCCCCATATGTTCTGTAGATTTAAATGTAGAAACCAGTAGTTTGTAGGGCTATATAGTTTAGTACTACTATACTATACTCCGCCTGCCCTGTGCACCACTTCCCCATACAACAATTCCGCCAATCAATGTACATCAACAACAGCAAATCAGTATCGATATCGATAACAATAACATATCCACTCCGCAATGCAAGATCAAGATCAAGATAAAGAACTTTTAGAGACCGCCAGCCCATACAGTACAACCAACCAAGAATACAACCCCAGATAATGAAAGACTAGCTAGACACGCTAAACCATCAGCAGCATAGAACCAAGACAACTTTAGAAACAACACACAACACCAAATTAATGTTCAATAGACGCGCTAAACAGCAGCCGTGTCCTGGTCGCGTGTCGCGTAGAGTCGGAACTGCACGAAGATAGTCACGTCCTCGACCATGGTGCCAAGCGAACCAATCAGCCATGGGACATTTGTCACGATATAGTTCTTTTCTGTGGAGTGGCAGATGATCTGTATAAGATCTGTTAGTCTGGTTTATGTGAGTCACGAGGAGTGAAAGTAAAACTTACGCCTGCGCCGTAGGTAAGGTTTCCCATAAGGGAGAGGATGAAGAATAGTAGCGAGAGTCCTATATCCATATCTGTTAGCTCATCACAACAATCAATTAGAGAGGAAGGGATGTACATACCCTCACACGACTTATCGCAGTAATTCTTGTAGATCTGCGGAAGTCGCGCCCTATTATTCCATTAGCACAATCACTCTCCCCAACCAAGCGTAGAAAAATAAACATACCCAAGATAACAAACCGCACTAATATACCCCAACACCATTGCTCCAGGCGCCATATCCACGCCTCCCAACCCCTCCTCCACAGGCGCAGGCTTCCACACGCCCGTCCGCCACGCAACCGTCCACCCCGCCATCCCAATGACGCAGATGCCCAGCACACTGCTAAAATTCTTCACCCACGCCTTGCGCCCCACATCATTCTCCTCGACAATCTTAGCCAGCATGTCATCACTGCTGCTTTCCGCGCGGCGCGTCGAGTTCCTAGGGTTGTCCACAATCTCACCAGTCTGCGTATGCGCATACGCATCGCTGAACCGCCGGCCCAGAAGCGGCGTCGTCGGATCGGGCGTGCTTGGCTCAAATACGGAAGAGGAGGTGCGGCGGCGGGGGCGCGGCTGGCGGGAGTTCCGCGCCTTGTAGTAGAGACATTGTCCGATGAGAACCCCGTCCGCGATACAGAAGTACACGGCGATGGCGACGATCACGGGCACAAGACCTGCCCAGGCGCCTCCGATTAGGTTGGTGATGTCGCCAAGGAACCAGACGAAGAGGAAGAGGAGGGAGATGGCTTCGGCGTTGCCGTTGCGGTAATTTTCGATTAGTTGGGGGACCTAGAAGCTTGTTAGTATGGCTTGTAGTATGGGAAGGGAAGAGAGGATTAGAGGGCTTACGAGGAGAAAGATCCAGCAGGTAAGTGATATTGAACCCAGCAAGCCGGAGGCTGCTTCGCGAGGAGTGAGAGGGACAGAGTCAGCATTGGTAGCTGTCCAGAGAGTCGCCATGTTGAATTGAGGTGTTGGGGGGCAGTGAGGTGCAAGAGTTGTTGCTGAGGTTTGGAGGGAACTCTTGCGGACTGCTCGACTCAGTCAATGACGGGCAGAGATAAGGAACCCTCCGATGATAGCGGTTTTATTGAGAAAATCCCTTGCCGGCCGGGCGCATGAGGTCACAGGGAAATAGGGTCGCGATAAGAGCGGTTAATGAAAAATGAAGGGTCAGCTGCTCGATTCGGAGGAATCCGGTGGTTGAAGAAATTTTCATGGAATGTGTAGGAGGAAAAGCACGAAGGAATGAAGCTATTAAAAAGGCGACAATTGAGTCACTTGGTGACTGAATAGATTGGCGCATGGTTGCGGGTGGAGCCGGTCAGGAATGCTTTTGACTAAGCTGTCTGTCTTTGCACTGTCATTCTTTAGCTTCATCCGATCGCTTATCAGCTTGGAGAGTCCCTCTTGACTATCGATTTATTTGGATGGGGATAGACTTTCTTTGGGGACATGTAGGGGAGTATCTGTCAAACTAGAATGGATACATTTAAGCTGCATGACCGTTGCTAACGTCGTATTGCTACAGGGGTCCCTTGTGAAGCAGGCCATACTAGTTGTACTGCTATTTTCAAAATATAAATACACTTCAATCATTGTGTATTACTCGGCCGCGATAGCATCAACACATACGATCGATATTAAAATCAATTACTACATTAGACCAAGTTATCTGTCTTCATTGAAGTTCCTGTCGTGATATTGAGTAATTTTGCTCAACAACCATCTATATTCTATGCTATCTACTATGACCAGCTGGATGCCCATGCGGCAAATACTTTTTCCTAATTTCACATTGGTAACACAACGCGATACTTCATCCTGGGTATCAAGCTTCTTCCTCATCATACTGAAGCAGCTGGAGCTCGTCTTCCAGCATGGAAACCACCATGTCGCCCATTGCCTCCCGAATCGGTCCATGCAGCAAACGCTCGCGCTCCGACTCTGGCTGAACCAATTCCAAGCCATCCACATACTCCGTTAGCGGGGAATAGTCGAGTACTTCGCCCCAGTTTCCGCGGTCAACTCCATACTGCTGGATGAATGCTTCCAGCGTGTGCATCCCATCGTTCAACAGCCACTGTTCGAGGACTGGTTGCTGATCGGCGCTGGGGTGGGCCGGCGCACGGTTGTCCTCAGCTTCGGTCTCCGATGGAACGTCATCTTCGTGTACTTCCTCTCCATCACGCTGGAACCGAGGGAAATGAATAGCTCCGTTGTTCAGCTGATCAAGCAGGTCTCGCAGCCATTGTGGCCGCCCTACATCTGGCACCTGCGACAAGTAGGATGGCGTGGGGTCGGACTGCTGACGATAGGCTTCCGACTCGTAGGGAGGAAGGGGGTCGGACGCGGAGAGACGTCCAGCGACGAAGCGATTTGGAAGATGTGTCGTGACCCGAGGGATATCGGACAGTACAACATGGCGTGCGATGTCCAGCGATATCTCCGGCGGCTCAACGGGCTCTTCTTCGTCGGGAAGCGTGTCGGCCACTTCTACGATCAAAGAAACCGCTTCAGGAGTGTTCCAGAGGTCTTTGGCACGGCTAATGTAGAGTTCGGTGAAAAGTTCGTGGGCATCCGTGGGTGGCATCTTGCCCCAGATCCTCTTTGGCATGGGCTGGATGTCGAGCTCTTGCGCCATCTTACAGAATACCCACGGGTAGCGCGACATGGCTCGACGCAGCTGCTCGCGGCATTCCTTCGGTTTGTTAAGTCGTAGATAGGCCAGCGCGAGCGAGCACTGAATATTGGGAAGGGCGTCCCACTCCTTGCTCAAACGCGTCTGTGTGCAGAGATCCACGAAATGGGCATATTCTCGGCCTCGCAGGGCCAAGTGATCGATAAGAAGCCGGATGCAGTAGGGGTCAGTCTCATTGAGACTCAGTAGTAATTTCGCCCACTCATACGCCGTCCGCCAAGTACCCTTCATCCCCAGATTAGCAATGTACCTCCAGCCAACCAGCCACAGCTCGCGGTTCTCCATATGCACAAAGTCAAGTTTTGCCTGGCCTTGCTTAACGAGGTTGCTGAAAGACGAATGGGCTGAACGCCCGATGTTGAACAGTGCGCGCTCGAGTAGATCGGCCGAGACTGCATGATCACCCTGATGCTTTGCTATCTCAGACACCTGTAGGAGGGTAGAGATGTGGTAGGGGTTGTATTGTAAGAGGTGGATCATTCTTTGGGGATCCATCGACTCCACGCACATATCGAACTGTCTCTGCACGTCTGTATAGGATGAATTGTGCACAATCTTGTACATAGTAGAGCCATTTTGGAGCTTTTCGACTAGCTCCATTCCAAGACCACCACTGGGAGACCGAGGCCACTCATCCCTGCCCTGCATGAGAACGTTCCGCCGCTGCGTCACGCCAGCCAGACTCTGACCCCTACTGGCAGGGCTGTACCGACCTGTCAGTGCCTGCCCTAAGTCAAGCGTCTCTCGCCCTCTATCCCTTCTGCGACCTGATCCAGTATCTTGATCGAAGTTTTCCAACACGACATTCCCAAATAACTTGCGCATCTCGTTCGTCGCATTCAGGCATCTAGGATCAATGGCGAGAAGCGCTTCCGGTGTTTTCGGGAATCCAGCATCACGGTCTTCTGCGGCGCCTGGACCACCAGTGTGTGCGGAGTGTTTAGGGTTGACGGCCAAGTCTTTCAGCGCTTTGTCGATATCATCCAGGTTTGTAGTCTCGGGAGTAGCAGCACCGGCCCCCGATTTAGCTCCAGCCTTCTTCTTTTTCTTGTTCTTCTTATTCTTCTTTCCCGGGGCTGCTGGCTTAGGTGCAGGTGCAGGTGCAGGAACCTCCTTAGGTTGAGTCACCGGCTCAGGTTCCTCAATCTCAGCTTCATTTTCGGACTCCTGCTCGTCTTCGTCATCGTCGACTGAGTTCAACAGATCGAAGGCGTTGAGCTTCGGCTTCGACGGCCGGACCACTGGCTCTTCATCGCTCGAGTCATCGTTTTCTTGTTCGACTTGTGCCAGCTGCAGCTCTTGTTCGCGCTGCTTCTGCAGCTTGCGGAGCGCACGGGAGGACATTCAGGAGTCGGCAATATATCCGAATATGTAGAGACTGGATTTACTGGGTGCAATGGGCCACACACGCAGACAGTGACAGGGAGAAGATATTGAAAGGAAGGGCCCAAGATCCATAGAATAAAAGAATATGATTGAATCGGGCAGTCCCGCGGGGAATGACGACACGGCCGAGACAGGCTTAGCGGGGTTCTGGCAGTTTTGCTTAAGCCCCTTTCGGAACATGCCGTATGTAATGTCACAAACAATACATACACGGTATCACATGACGCAATGGCGGCGAGATCCCGTGGTTGAAGTAGTTGCTTGCCTCCACCGCATCTCGTTGTTTCTCACTTGCTTATCTTCTGCTTGCTTTTGTTGTTCTCCGAAACCAGAGACGGAGAGTAGTCAAGACACTCCCGGCTCACACACAACTCTTTATCCGCCGGCCCAATGCGTCGTGCGGCTTTTCAGGCCCTTCGTACTGCCCGTCGCGTGCCAGCATGGAAGGTCACTGGTAGGAAACCGTGCGCCGTGTCCTTCTCTAGCAGTCGGAGTCTCGGTCTACGTGCTTCCTCCACGGGCAAACACCCCTCTTATCTCTCCGCCCCCCTACAGTCGTCGATGCATCTTCGGAACTTCTCGCTCGCTGTCATTTCGACCGTCGTCGCTTCGGGCGCCTGGTACGCTTATCAGGGCACCGGCCAGACATCGGCGGGTCTGAACCCAACATCGTCGCAATTCCGTTCGTATTCGACCGCTGGTGCGCAAGCTGAAGCCCCTGCGGAGGCCACTCGACGTGCGCTGCTGGTGGATAATGACCAGTTTTTTACCGCCCCTATCTCTGGAGATCAGCCTTTATCCAAGCACACGGACGATTCCGACCGTCGAGTTCTCGAGATGTTGACCCCGGAGCAGGCCACACAGAAGCTCAGGAAGAACGAAGAGTCATATTTGGTGAACCGGGGCAAGGGAGTGGTCCGTTATGATATTGTTCAGGTGCCTAGTAATTCTCCAATCGAGGATGATCATGCCGAAAAGATCATTGAGGTGCCGTCGTCCGTAGCGGCAGCCAATCAAGGCGAATCCAAGAGTGATTGGATGTTCTGGGCGGTGTTTGATGGCCATTCGTACGTCTACAGAATCCCATACGATCAAGCATCTTCCCCTTACTAACTTATGGTTTTTCAGAGGCTGGACAACATCTGCCAAATTGCGCAATGTTCTCATCTCCTACGTCGCTCGTGAATTGAACACTACCTACAAAGCCGCAGCTGCAGACCCCTCTCTGTTGACGCCCTCGTCCGCTGCCATAGACGCCGCGATCAAGCAAGGGTTCACTCGTTTGGACGACGATATCGTGCACAGCAGTGTCGACAAGGTGCTCAAGTCCAACTCCCGCCGGGTCGCAGCCGAGATGCTTGCGCCTGCTCTTTCCGGATCTTGCGCTCTTCTTGCTTTCTACGACTCTCAATCTAAGGATTTGAAGGTCGCCTGCGCAGGTGACTCCAGAGCTGTTCTGGGTCGTCGCGCTGCGAACGGTAAATGGTCGGCAACACCTCTTTCCGAAGACCAGACTGGTGGAACTCCGTCGGAGATGAAGCGTCTACGGGAGGAGCATCCCGGGGAGCCCAACGTTGTGCGCAACGGACGGATTCTCGGACAGCTTGAGCCGAGTCGCTCTTTTGGAGATGCTTTCTACAAGTGGAGCAGGGATACGCAGGACAAGATTAAGCGACAGTTCTTTGGTCGCACTCCCCATCCCCTGTTGAAGACCCCTCCCTACGTGACTGCCGAGCCAATCATCACCACCACAAAGATGGACCCCGGCAGCGGTGACTTCCTCGTCCTCGCAACCGACGGTCTCTGGGAGATGTTGAGCAACGAGGAAGTTGTCGGTCTTGTTGGCCAGTGGGTTGAGCAGCAGCAGCAATTCGGCGCCAGTGGCAGCAACAAGGCCTGGCTGAAGAGCTGGTTTAGCTTTGGCAACAAGTCAGAGCTGCCCGTGGAAGGGCCCAAGGAGACCGACGCTGAAGGCCAACGCCGTCCCATCCGCCAGCAGCAATACGACATTGCTGGAGCAGCCAGCCGCTTCACTGTTGAGGATCAAAACGCTGCGACTCACCTTGTGCGCAATGCCATGGGAGGAAAGGACAAGGAAATGGTCTCCGCCTTGCTCACACTTCCCAGTCCTTATTCTCGCAGATACCGGTATGCTTCCTTCCCTACTTTATCTTTTCTAGGATCCCGCTAACTTCACCCAGTGACGACGTAACTGTCGAGGTTATCTTCTTCGGCGAGGGCCCTGACAACCGCACCGTCACCATCAACGAAGAGGCCAGCGCATCTGAGGAGAGCGTCAAGGCCAAGCTGTAGTTGTAAACCCATAACTTTTTACCATAAGACATTATTATGACTGGTGCTAAAGAGCCATAAAAAGAGAGATGCAAGAAAACATCTTGATTGTCGATTTCCATTTCTTATCCTTTGTCTTTGATGCCCGTTCGTGATACATGCATACACAGTTGACGGCATCCACTGTCTTTTATGATTTTCTTTCACACCGACTAAATGAACTGGCAGTACAGCCGGCGTTACGCGTGCGGAGTCTGGTGGGAAATATTATCTTGCTTTTAGTATGCATTAGTTAGCTAGCATGGAATAAGATACACATGACATAGAATGTTACATTCGTGCAACTCGTGCTCTTTTGCAGATGGAACTGATGCTATTCTTGGGGTATCGAGATTCTAATAATAATACAGAGCGGCATGTGTCCGCCATGCCATAATTCCGCTGAGATTGTTAAGCTTCCTCAGTGCTCGAACACCCGGTCTCCGGTCCGTCAGGTCAGGCCGTGACTCAATGGGTTCAGTTATGAACGAGCATGTATGAGACGATTGCACCCGGGTATATTCTCATGAAAGAAACCGCGACGCATATCCTTGCCCTGAGCGAGTGATAGATGTGTTGTCCCTCAGTGGGACTATCTCAGACGCATTTCAGTACTCGTGACTGAGCAGGGCCTGTCTCGCATCTTGACCCGGTCGGCTATAGCCTGATATTACATACTCCGACGTGTCCGCAATCCATGTCCATAGTCTCATTTCATGTCTTCTTATGCGGAGGCGCCAGGCGGTTTGGTGCTTTGTACATGACATAGTGTCTCTTCCAAACAGGTAGGGGCTTAACCGGGAAAAGCACCCGATCCAGGAGTAAGGTCTGTAACGTAGCGATGTTCGTACTGCTGAGCCAGTAGATCATCAATGCAGTAGGCATCTCCGACACATAGGATGACAATCCCACATTCAACGCCAGCACCTGAATGAACATCCGGATTCCCCGCAAGGAAAGCTGCTTGTACATCTCTATCTTGGGCAGATCGGCCAAGTTCTTCAAAGGCTGGGCCTTCCAACCCATTCGGATATTCAGCAGGATAGATAGTGTTAGCGCCAAGGGCAGAATACCGGTAGGATCTCCGGCCAGGAGATCAGGGAACCAAAGAGCACCCTCATTGGCGAGTGAGGGCTCGACCGCCAGATGCAGGGCAGACGAGGGATCCGCAGACTCGGGCTCAAGGCGCGATAGGAGCCAGGGCACTAGACCACGGTCATTGCCGGACATGGCGCGGAGACTCTCCATGATGGAGATCCATATGGGTAGTTGGAGGAAGTTCAGCGGTTTCCAGAACCGAGGAATGCCCAGGCGACGGTGTACGATTCGTTTCCTTTCCAGGAATTGCTTCATGAGCTGTTGCTTTTGGGCCCTTGTAGGGCCAATTTTGGCGAGCAACAGGCGGTCCTCGCGGGTGTATTCGTCTGACTTCTGCAATTTCTCTTTGAAACACCTGTTCCATGCTTGGAGGAGCGGTATCGCATCCCGTTCTCGTCTCGCTTGCATCTTGCTGTAGAGTTGTAGCGGCAGAGCAATGGATGTTCGGACGATCAGAGCGCTCAATGGGATGGAGACGGCCCATGGTAGACCGGAAATGGCGTGGACATTGTGAAGAAAGGCGGAGGAGAGTTCGAGGGCTTCGTTGATGAAGGGAGTTGGGCGTGTTGGATGGAAATGCCGGACCTGCTGGAAAGCCGCCGTCTTGCGTGCGGGATGCGACAATCGGAAGGGCCGCATGTTAAGCAATTGGCTGGGTGGCTGGGGGTACGGGCTAGAAAAAATAGGATATGTACAAGAATGGAATGATGTATTTATGAATTAAGAGACAATGCCTCACCAACACCGCACCGAGTTGATCAGATCAGACCAGAATCAGTTGAAGGGCCGCGGAGGATGGAAAACATGTAATCACGTGGAATGCTCAAATCACGTGGTGATAGGAACAAGACAAGACTGACCGTACCGTCAAGCTGTCTTGTATGTAAGGTAACATACCATACAGGCTATCGATAAGATCTCGAGATCGACCCGCTTCTTCGCTTCGTCTTCAACCTCCACGCTGGCCAGTTTCATTCTTCTTCTCTTCCGCTTCTTATCCACCTGCCATGTCCGCAGCTGTCTCTCGTTAGCCATGATGCTGCTCATCCTCAAGTCGCTCCTCACCTTGCTCGCCCTCCTGGCGACCTGTGTGCTACTGCCCCAGCTGCCCCTGAGTCTTCTCCGCCTAGTTCTCCGCGGTGTCGGTTGGCTGGTCCAGAAGCGCACCCGCTCTCGCCGCGAGTATATCATCTCGCGCGTCCGCGCTGACGAGGAGGAACATGCTCCTCGCACAAAGTCCACCTCTGCTACCAACTCCGGTGATGAGGAGGACTGGGAGAAGGTCGACACCTCCAGCTCCAGCTCCGGAACCGCTGGCATCAACCGCAATGAAGAATGGAATGGCATCATCGGTTTCTTCCATCCATTCTGGTAATGACCCAGCAAACCCCTCGTTGCAGCTCCCCACTGATCACTATTCTACAGTAACGCAGGCGGTGGTGGTGAACGTGTCCTCTGGGAGGCCGTGAGGGCGACCCAGAAACGCTGGCCCAAGGCCATCTGCGCCATCTACACGGGAGATCATGAGGTCAACAAAGCAGCCATGCTGGAACGGGTCCAGGTACCACTCACACCAGCTTCTCCATACCTGTCATGCACATACTGACGACCTCAGAACCGCTTCAACATCACCCTCCATGCCCCCACTGTCGTTCTCCTCTATCTCACCACCCGCAAATATGTTGTTAGCAGCATGTACCCTTACATGACTCTCCTCGGTCAATCCCTAGGCTCTCTCATTGTCGCCTACGATGCCTTCAACCTCCTTGTCCCGGATATTTTCGTTGACACAATGGGCTACGCATTCACCCTCGCTTTCAGCAAGCTTCTCTTCCCCTCTGTCCCGACCGCCGCCTACGTGCACTACCCGACCATCTCCACGGACATGCTCCAATCCCTCGACGACCAGACCGGCCTGCAAGGTGTCAACTCCGGTGCCGGCAAGGGTCTCAAGGGCCAGATCAAGCGGAAGTACTGGATCGCATTTGCCAAACTCTACGGCTGGGTAGGCGGCCACGTTGACGTCGTCATGTGCAACTCCTCCTGGACATCAGCGCACATCCGCGCCATCTGGGGTCCCTCCCGCCGAACAAACCCCCACAGAGATCCCACCGTCATCTTCCCACCCACCGCTGTCTCCGAACTCGAGTCCACCATCACCGTGTCCCCAGAGACCGAACGCACCCGCCAACCCATCATCCTCTACATCGCCCAATTCCGCCCGGAGAAGAACCACCCCTTACTCCTCCGCTCCTTCGCCCGCTTCCTCCAAGAGCGCCGCGACCAGAACGCTGACCCCGAATCCGAGCCCAAGCTCGTCCTGATCGGCTCCGTCCGCCACTCCAGCCCCGACGAAACTCACATCTACAACCTCCGGCTACTAGCCCACGAACTCCGCATCCGCGACCAAACCACCTTCATCTGCGACGCCAGCTGGCCCACCATCCTCGACCACCTCTCCACGGCCTCGATCGGCGTCAACGCCATGTGGAACGAGCACTTCGGCATCTGCGTCGTCGAGTACCAAGCCGCCGGTCTGATCAGCGTGGTCCACGACTCCGGCGGTCCTCGCGAAGACATCGTCATTGATCTCGGTGATGGCGCCACGGGATTCCGCGCCTCCACGGAGGAGCAATTCGCTGCTTCGTTCGAGGCGGCGCTTGCGCTTCCGGTTGAAGAGAAGGTCGCGATGCGGCTACGCGCCAGGAAGTCTGCGTTGAGATTCACCGAGGAAGAGTTCCATGTCAAGTGGATTGAGGAGATTGGGAAGTTGGTGAGGTGAGCGTTTGTGATCGTAAGGGAAAACTTATTATCCAATCCCATCCCACCTCTTATAAAAAAAAATCATATCTATTATCTGCTCCTTTAAGAGTTTCGGTTTCTTCAGCTGACTGGCTAGCTAACTAGCTGTTCAGCTGTTGGGCGTTATCCACGGCACTGGGGGTAAATGAATGCATTATCATCCATCATCCATTATCTTCATCATCATCATCATCGTATTGTGTACTATTCGTATCAATGGGGAAATACAGAACGCCCCTCAGCTCCAGTCCTCTATACTAGATCTTACATGTCTGTCCTTCCTTCTTCCTTTCTTCTTCCTCCACTTGGAGTCTAGTATATAACATCATCACGAAAATTAGTATCTGCCTATATTAGTAGTAGTCATGTCATGCCATCCCCTTCACTGAAACCTGAGTACTTACATCAAACTTGCAGCTTACTATATGTCCGTAATCAGAAGGTTAGGGCAGACACAGCTGAACTAATACTATATTTAGTGCTAACAGTCAGGAGTGTAGTGGATGTCTTGTTGATTTCTAAGCAGGGAGGGCCTTGCAATTGATGCATGAGCGCTCGTATAGTACTACTTTTCCCTTCAGCTTGGGGTCAATCATGTTTTACTTCTACTTTTAGGGTGCCCTGTATAACTATGAATAGAAAGATAGATATAGACTGTACGAAGAGAACTGTACGCTACTATCATCTTAGAATGTGGATATGACAATGGGCATAGGACTGAAACTTATTCTGTCAATTATGGTAGCGTATACTTCGCAGAAAAGACTACCGCACCCCAGTCAATTACATGAGCTTAACAAGACACCTCTCACTCTGAGTAGGACAATAGATATGATGGAACGAAATGGTTCAAAATATGCGTATTCAAATGGATATCCCTTTTCCTTGTGTAACAGAAAATAGAAGATAGAAAAGTACCTAAACCTCGCACACGAAAACACAACCGGGAGCATCTTCCATGGGTATGAAGTTCAAGGATTCTTCGTAATCACGTAACAAGATAAGAAAAAAAAATAATGCGTGGTCGGGTTAGACCAGCTGAGAATGAAAGAAAAGCAGTAATAGAAATAAAAATAGGAAGTGGTAGGGCTGAACGAAAGTGAAACCCGCCGTCATGAGGCAATCAATCAATCACCAATCCAATCCGTCTCCCTGTATCTCAACGCCAAAACCCTGTTCTATTGAGAAATCGAAATCATGAGGAAGCCTGCTGCACCTGTTGCCTCAAATTTCGGGTAGAATGGAAAGAAATATCGCCTGTTCAATGATCAAGATGGGGAAAGAAAAGAGAAAAAGAAAACTGGGGCGAAAGGGGATATAGCACCCGAGCTAAGAATGAAGAAAAATATGGGAAGGCAGGCGAGCATCACCGAGACAAGCGTTGTCATGCTCTCCAATCCGTTTCTCGATAGCCAGATTCTGCAGGGTTTACTCCTAACATTTGGCCCGGATTGTTCACATCATACATGTTACTCGGACCTCCGTAGCTTCCGCTTATGCCAGAGACACTACTGAGGCCAGATTCGTCTTCATCAAACCCAAACTCTCCGCCGGAACTAGCATCGAAGCTGCTGCGACCTCCTAAATCACTGGGATCGTCTGCGGTGGCAGGGATCTGATCCCACTGCAAGGTCTGCAGCGCGGGGTATTGGGCCAGCAACGCGGCAGGAAGAACGAAATTGCTGGTATGTTGGCCATCCATTCCTGGCACCATCAACGGAGGTGGTATAGGCTGTAGGTGCTGTTGCTGATCCATCATCGTGCGCTCCCGCTCTTGAGACTCTTCATCCAACAACGGCTTGATACAGATCCGACCAGCTTCGGAACGGAAATGACGACCCAGAGCATCTGCACGAGCGAATCGCCGACCACATCCCCACTGTCCGCCCCGGGAGAGGTCACCGCGACAGACGAACTTCTTTTCACCGGAATGCAGCCCCTCGTGCCGCTTCCGATCATGCTGTCGCGCAAAGGCTTTCCCGCAGACAGTACATACGAACGGCCGTTCATCGGTGTGCGTACGCAAATGGGATCGTAGGTTGTAGGCTCGCGTAAAGCGCTTGGGGCACAGGTGACATTGGAACGTGGCCGGGTGTTTCTGGACACGTTTGGAGTCGTTAGGGTTGCCCCCAGGCCTCTGGGGATCCGCAAGGCCGAGAATGTAATTTCTACTGTCGATCGACGACGTAGACAGTCGCCGACCCGACCGCGAGGGAGACGGCTCTCGGGAGCTGGGATTACTATGTGGCTGTCGCCCCATGGTATCAAAGGGCGACAGCGACCGGGGTGACGGAGGCACAAATGGCTCCAGGCTGGTCGAGGTAGAAGATGACCGTGCGCGAGAAGCCGGGTGGGCGTATGGGTCCGACTTACTGCGCATGCGGGAGCCTATAAGCTCGCAGTTAGCATTGTACGAGAAAATGCAAAGAATAGGGCGAGCAGTGACAACTTACGCATGGCAACGGGTGGACTCAACGAGTCCAAATCCGCACTGGGCTTCGTCTGCGGGAGGTTGAGATTCTTCGCCGGGGGCGCGAATTCCACGTTGATAGATGGGGGCGCCATTTGCGATGCTTGACCTATATCACCCATGCCAGCGTTTCCTTGGACCATCATACCCTCCCCGTACATGTCAGTCGGTGGGGTGGGGTACTGCGTGTTGCCTGCAGGAGCAGAGATGTACGGCACGTTGGGAATCATGTCTGTGGGCTGTTGAGGCATCAACTGCGGGGAGATATATGGACTGTGAGCAGGGCTGATGCCCTGTGGATGGTGCTGTTGCTGACCATCAGACAAAGTGAAAGATTCAATGCCTAGTGCATTGTCGTAAAGACCGGGGTCATGCTGGGGTGCCAGGAGGGGCGAAGGGTTGTTCTCCACGCCATCAAAAGATTCATGCTGAGACATGTATGGAGACGGGGCAGCGGATGACACCTCGGACACCTCAGACGGGGCCCGTCGATGACCCTGGAAGGCGGAGTTGGCCATGACTGCCTGCCAATCCGTATGCACATTGCCCGACATGTATGCGGCGCTCGCAGGATCCAAGGAAGTATGACGGGAATGTTGCGGGGTGTAGTAAGTCCCCGGCGTCGAGCTGGGCGGCGACATGGGTCCGGGAGATGAGTGCTGATAATGGTCCTGGGGAGAGATCGGGGACAATTGCGGAGAAGCCGAGGGATGAGGAGAGGGTATCTGGCTGACGAGGTCGGCAGGATTAACCGCTTGACTGCCCGGTCGGGAATGGCTGTGAACTTGGGGATCTAGCAAGAGCGGGGAGTCGTAGTCCGGGGCGGCCGTGCTATTCGGACTAGGGTTCTGGTATAGGGCAAAGTCGAAATCTGTGGGGTTTGAGTTCAACAGATTAGAGAAGTTCTCGTCTGACGCCTGTTGTTGTTGCTGCTGCTGCTGTTGCTGCTGCAAGGACAGGCCCGTCGACTGGCCCAGCTGGGGCATCAACCCAGCATCGAAGGATTGTGGCAGTTGAAGGCTGTGCGAGTATGTTTGATCGGTCGGGGCCAACGTCTGCGCGGCGGAGGGTGCGGAGAGATAACCGGTGGGGTTATAGCCGTAGGAATCAGAGGCGCCTGGATTGGAGGGGTTGTAGGAAGTAGAGGTATAAGGAGCTGTAGTGGTTGCGACGGAGACATCCAAGGTCAATCCGGCGGAGGGATCATTATATGGACTAATACTGCGGCTCCTCATCCCAGCGGGCGACTGCCCCGAGTCGGGCAGGTTGTCCTGGGATGCCATGACGAGAGGATGAACCAAAAATAGATACCACGCGATGCAAGGCTTAGTCGAGTTGAAACGCAAGGTCCGGTCCAATCTCACACCCAACGGAGAAGCTGAAGAAACGCGGGGAAGGGCGAGTCAGAAGTGTCGCAGGGAGGGATGTGGGCGTGGAGGAGGGCCAGGAGGGGGAGGTAGAGGAAGGAATCGGGCACGAGTTAGTGGATGACGGCGGCGGGCGATTCACGACCAGCACGGCACAGCAATGGAGAATTCGCGTGCAGAAAGGCGGACACGAGCGATCAGAGGGGGGGGAAGGAGGCAAATGAGGGAAAGGGGGGGTTGTGGTTGTGGGAAGAGGGAGAGGGAGAGTTGAGTGAGTGAGAGTAAGAGAGCCTTGCGATTCAGCCTCGTGGCGCGCAGTCGGTCTGGAGGGGGAAAGTCGTTGCACACATTCTCAGGCGCCAACAAGCGCCGGGGAAGATGCCGGGAGAGGACGATCCTCAGCCGCTAACCAGGGACGAGAGAGATAGATGCAGATTCGATCAGACACTCACTCTCACACACACAGACAAGGGTGAAATCAGGAAAGAAGATCGAAACTCGAAAAGGATGATGAAGCTGACGGTCCAAGAAGGAAGCTCAAGGCAGAAACTCGTCCAGATTCCCGATGCCTGATTCCCGGGGCACGTGCAAAGCAAGTATTCCTCAGGCCAGACAGTCTGCCTGTCCAGAACAAATCACAATACTAAATGACCTGTCAATTTGCTGGCTTTCATTTTAAGTTTCTACTGATGCTGAAAGGTTTATTTATCAGTTTATTTGTAGTAAAACAAGGTCTTGTGAATTCCCTCTCCCAGTTAGTTCTACTGTTTTCATTACAGTCACTTAATCTACTACTTCTACTTCTACTACTACTACTACTACTACTACTACTA